TATGATTTCATTCGATAGGTATATAGCCATGTGATTTTTTTGACACATAGAATAATTTCTGATTTGTATAGATATAAAAGATAAAAATATCTTGTGAATAATATAAATAAAAGTTTAATCAATATCAGAAATAATTAACATTTTAAAAAATCAACTAAGAAACATTTACATACACAATAAACACAAGTAAAAATCCTACCCACTTTAACATTAAAATATTTTAATAATTAATCCTCAAAATTTATATTTATTTTTGCTGTATTTAGTTAGAGAGTTTTGAAGGAGATTAGGAAAGGAAACCAAAAAGATATATGAAATTAAGTGAAATGTAAATATGTTTTATTTACTTACATTTTTCTTTCATTTTTTTAATTCCTTCCTAAATTCTCTAACCAAACACAACATTTGTGAATTTTCAATAATTGTATAATCTCGTTTGGCAACTTGAAGTTTTAGTTAAAAAGTCAAAAAATTACTGTAAGTTATCCTATTAATCTTTCTGTTTTTCTATACATCCTTTTATAAAAAAACTACAAAATTATTAAAATAGTCTATTTTCAAACCAATGTATTCAAAAACTATATGAATGCAAAATTTTAATGTGAAGAATCCAATTCTCATTCTCATTTTCAACTAGTGAGTGTTTGGGAAGTTGTTATTTTAATAGATTATTTTAGTTCTTGATTATTTTAATAGGTTAAAATTTTTGTGTTTGGAAAAATGATTAGATTTTTTAATAGTTAAGTGTGATGTTTGTGAGAGAAAAAGTAAAATAATTATAGATTTGATGTGACATTTTGTTTTATTAAATATTTTAGTCTATTTTTTTTTTGAATTTTAGCCTAAATTAGATCTCGTTTGACAGCTCATTATTTTAGTTTAAAAAAAAAACATAAAAAAAAAAAAATCAATAACCTATACAAAAAAAATCAAAGATTCATTTGCTCTCTATTTTTTGTAAAAAATCATAAAATTATCCTAAACATACTAATTGTTTTAATCTCATATTTTAATCAAAAAATTAAAATATTATTAGAACAATCTGCTTCTAAATGAGGCCTTCATAGTTTTTGAATGAAATTATCAACACAAAAATATCAATGAGTACCTTAAAACAATTTTCTTATCACATTGCTTAAATTGACAAAATAAAAAATATGATTTTAATTTGTTATGGTAAAGCAATTTTCCAAATCACCAATTTTAATTAGTAGTGTTATGCAAATTAATTGATATATCAATTAATATTATTATTTTAAAATTATAAATTTCATCTATTACATAAATTGAAAAACTTAAAACTTTTTAAATTATATTATATCATCTGTTGATAAATTAATTTAACTTTATTCAACTTTAATTGTGCCAACCAAAACATTAAATTAATTTTGTTAACCTTGCATTAATACATCACATATGCAGGAAGAGTTACAGGAAGAGTTACATTTTACACACACAAACACGACCTTGCTCTTCTTTCGTCTCCGTGACCCAAATTCGATCTGTCAGAAGAATTCGCTCCATTTTCTTTCGATACAAAAAAAAAAAGGTACAACGGATTTAAAAAAAAATAGAAATGTACCAACAAATTAATTTTTTATAAACTTAACTTTAGACAATAAGCTTTCTTTTTTTAATTAATTCTACTAGTGGGTGGCACACACGATGTGTGTGCAATTTAAATAAGTAAGAATAAAACATAATAATAATGAAATTAATATTATAATGTGTACTTAGCTTAAGTAGTATAAGTCCCCGTTCTTAAACCCATGGTCATGGGTTCAAGCCTTGCCCATCTCTTTTTTTAACTTTTTTTTTAAAAATAAAAAATATTGCCACATGGCATGAGGAGAGTAAAGCTTCATGACACCATAAATTGTGTTCACTTTATAATAGTATAGAAGATAGATAGATAGATAGATAGTGGGTGGCACACACACGATGTGTGTGCAATTTAAATAAGTAGGAATAAAAAATAATAATAATGAAATTAATATTATAATGTGTACTTAGCTTAAGTGGTATGAGTCCTCGTACTTAAACCCATGGTCATGGGTTCAAGCCTTGCCCATCTCTTTATTTAACTTTTTTTTAAAAAATAAAAAATACTGCGCCACATGGCATGAGGAGAATAAACTTTTAGGACACCAAAATTCCTGTTCACTTTATAATAGTACTAGCGATCGGGCACACGCGATGCGTGTGCAACTCATTTAAAATTATAATATGAGATTCAAAATTTTTTTTAATAATACACATATAAATCATATGTATAACTATGTGCAACATAACATTTAATATTAATTTATTTGATAAATAAAATATATGTAGATTAAAATCTGTACAAATCTATAAAAAAAATATACAATATTTACTAATTTTAACTAAAAAATTGTACAACAGAAAATTCATATAAAACCTCAATTTGGCAACATGAGATCTGCAAATCTTGCATAAAATCTATAAAATACATGTAAAAATTAGTTTGCTAACAATGTACATTGATTAAATTAAAATTTTAAGTTGTTATAATACATATTATTTTAAGTATTAATCTCATTTTGTGGAGAATTAAATAAAATTGTAAGTGAAAGAGATTACCTAGTAATGATGAGCCAAAGCATGTGCAAGTGAGATAAAATTTAAAATCAAACTAAATATAAAATTTTCAAACATTTAATTAAATATAAAAAAATAATAACTAAAAATACTTACAGTCAAAAGAGAAGCAGAAAATAAGGACTAATTTTAAAAACAATCAAACCAAATTTTTAAAAACTAAATTTATACACAAAAGCTTTAAAAAGTTTAACCGGGAAAAATCCTAAACTTTTTAAGTCTAAGTCTAAGTCTAAATCTAAAAAAATTATACACATTTTCTGTTTCGCAATTCAAAAAAAATAAAAATAAATTGAATAAAAAAATACATAAGCACACAAAATTTTTAAAAAATACAAATCTAAAACACATAAAACATTAAATTTGAAACATACAAACTGAAGTAAACAAACAAACCAATTTTTTTTTTTTCAAAAACAAACAAAAGTTTTAAAAAGTAAAATAGGAAAAATCCCAATCTATTTAAGTCAAGTCTAAGTATAAACAATTGCACACATTTTATGCTTCACAATTTTTTTTTTTAAAAAAAACATTGAATATATAAAAATATAGAAACACACAAAATAGAAAAGTATAAATCCGTGATACTTTGCACACTCATAGTCAAAGAGATTTTATTGAAAAAAAAACAAAAAAAAAAAAAAAAAAAATTAAACATACCCATACAAAATTAATCAACCAAACAAACCAATTAAGAACACTACACACACAAAATTAAACAAACAAACAAACCAACTTTTTAAAAATTGAAGTCTACAAAATTGCAAATAGTTGTGATAGTGCGAAACTGTTCAAAGAAGTCTGCACAAATACGAAAGTAAAACAATTTTGTTTCAAAATTTAAAAAATAAAAAAGAAAAAAAAAATCGAGAACATGAAATTAAACAAACAAACAAACCAATTTTATTGAAAACATAATTATTATTTTTTTTTAACACACACAATATTAATCAGCCAAACCAACCATTTTTTTTGAAAACATAAATTATAAACACATAAACATAAAAATAAGAACATTGTTTTTTTTTTAAAACACACACACACACACACACACAAATTAAGTAAACAAACCAACCAAATTTTTTAAAACTGAATTTATACACAAAAACAAACAAAAGCTGAAAAAAGTTAAACAGGGAAAAATCCAAACTTTTTAAGTCTAAGTCCAAGTCTAAGTCTAAAAAGTTGCACACATTTTTTGTTTTGCAATTTTTTTTTTAAAACAAATCGAATATAAAAATACAGAAGCACACAAAATTTTAAAAAAAATACAAATCCAAAACACATAAAACATTGAATTTGAAACACACACACTGAAGTAAACAAACAAACCAAAATTTTTTCAAAAACAAACAAAAGCTTAAAAAGGTGAAATAGAAAAAATCTCAATCTATTTAAGTCAAGTCTAATAATTGCACACATTTTCTGCTTCACAATTTTAAAAAAAAAAATTGTAAAAATATAAAAACACACAAAATAGAAAAGTATAAACCCATGACACTTTGCACACTCATAGTCAAAGAGATTTTATTGAAAACATTCCAAAAAAATAAATAAATTAAACACACCCATACAAAATTAATCAACCAAACAAATCAATTATGAACACTGATATTTTTTTTATTTTAAAAAAATACACACACAAAATTAAACAAACAAACAAACCAACTTTGAAAAAAAATTGAATTCATACACAAAAACAAAGAAAAGTTTAACGAAGAGAACAAAACACTTAGAGATAAAGATATTTGATATACACTTATAGTTAAAAAAAAAAAAAATTAAGACAACAAACAAATAAATCAAAACAAATTTTACGAATACTAATTACTTTTTATAGTGTGCTTTTTTTCCCCCCAAAAAATTGATTACATAATTGAACTTTGTAATAAAGAAAATAAAAATTTAAATTAACAATATTATACTTACAATGTAAGATGAGCAATGCATGTACTTTGGATAATCACTCTACCAACTTGCAATAGAATCGTATGATCACAATGTACTTAATTAGTGTTTCTCCTCCAAATGAAAAAAGAAAAAGGTTCTTTGAATAAGTTCCAAATGAAACTAATAAAAGTTTGAAACAGAAAACGGAAAAACTCTTGGCAAAAACTAAAACCACCAAGTTATAAATGTTTGTGAAAGGTGGGAAGTTATTCAACGTGGGAAGTTATTCAACATGGGAAGTTATGCAATTGTTATATTTTGTGAGTTAGTAATTTATGATTTTACCCTTAATTATAAATTGTTATAATTTTAAAAATAGTATAATTATTGAAGAAGTTAAGGTTATTTTAGAAAAATTAGTAAAAAAGTTATGAGAGCATAGCTTCAAAACACCAAAGTTGCTGTTAGCTATTAGTGCTGTTAGCTTTTAATAATAGTATAGATAGATAGATAGATATTTACACACACAAACACGACCTTGCTCTTCTTTCGTCTCCGTGACCCAAATTCGATCTGTCAGAAGAATTCGCTCCATTTTCTTTCGATACAAAAAAAAAAAGGTACAACGGATTTAAAAAAAAATAGAAATGTACCAACAAATTAATTTTTTATAAACTTAACTTTAGACAATAAGCTTTCTTTTTTTAATTAATTCTCAAAAAAGGCCCAAGTTAAATTAAAATAAAATAAAAAAATTCTAGGGAAAGCTTCAATGGTCTCTTTCTCTTTTGGTTTCTCTCTGGATTTTTGGTGTTGATGTTGTGTGAGAGAGGCAAACGAGCAGTTAACAGATCTAATTTTATTTGTGTTGATTTATTTGTATCTCAGATCGAAATCGTCCGGATCATGGTAAATTGAGCAGACAATAGCCGGAATCTGGCCGGAAGACCGCGATTTTGACCGGAATTTCGGCCGGTACACCGGAGTTTTTGGTCGCAAAAGCGTACCTCAGGTGAATCCAATTTGACGTATTTCTCATCTGTAACAGTACACAAATGCATCCTTATTTCTTTTATAGAAACCTATATTTATGTGTATATGTGGCTGATTCGGATTTTTTTTTTCTTTCCTTTTTGTCACCGAAATCTGTGTTTTTTTTTGTGTGTGTCGATTTGTAGATTTGGATATCTGGGCAATTGTTGTTCTTGGAATCGTCACTGTTTAGAAACAGGAACTAATTGAAGATTTGTATCAATTTATTTTGTATTTTGGTTTTTCATGGCCGCTCCCCGGGGACCTAGGCCGGGCAATGCCCCGCCTAATTACAACCCTAGTTCTCTTGCTGATGGCATGCAAAACCTACAAATAAATCGGCCAGTTGGACAGCCACCATCTGTGCCCAATTCCGGTGGCACTAGGCACCGTCCCCCTTATGGACAGCAACCACCACCTTTCTCTTCATTAGCTCCTGGGGCATCACCAATGACCCGTCCTGGGCCACCCCCACCTGGTGTCTTTCCAAGGTCTTCAGTTTCTGCTGGTGGTCCTCCACAAGCAACATTGTCCCCAACTGTAGTGCCTAATAGGCCCCCTGGCCCTCCTCCTGTTAATCAACCCCCTCCGCCTTTTGGAGTAAGGCCTCCGCTTCCTGGTTCCTTGCCCTCTTCCATGAGCAGTTCTAGTGTGCTTCCTTCTGGGCCACCTGGTGTTTTCCCATCTTCAGGACAAGTGGTACCGCCTAGTTCTCGACCTTTTGGATCTTATCCTTTGACAAGAGGACCAGTTATGCCGCCATCAAGCACTACTGGACCCATTAGTAACGGACCTCCTGCATTTGGATCAGGTGCATTGCAAGGTGGACCCCCTTTCCCTTCAGCTGGCAGTTCATCATCATCACCACCACCAGCAGCAGCAGCAGTTGGACCTGCACCACCTGCAATGTTGTCTACTGCACCTCATCCGGCTTCAAACATGCTTTCACACCTTGGTGGTCGACCTATTGGTGCACCACCAGGTCATATGCAACCAGCTGCACCATTTTCAGCACCATCACAAGGTGTGCCGCCCCCTCCAGGTTCCTCACCATTTTCAGGACCACCTCAAGGTGTGTCTCCACCTTTGGGTTCTACATATGGTGCACAGGCATGGCCAATGCAACCCCACCAGGTGAGCGTTTAAAAGCCTTAATTTTTCTCCTTTTTGAATTACTTATTTGATATGAACTGTTGTACTGAGAATTCTGCTGTGGTTAAGTTGATTGAAAGGGTTTATCCACTGAGCAGTCATTATGTTTTGGAATCAAATATATTTCTTTTGCTGTTTCTCATTCTTCTTGTTTTTATAAATGAATGAATAAAGGATATATGGTTTATTTCTATTATCAATACAGTTCCATTTTGCTGTCTTCCTAAACACATTTGAAGTTCAAATAGGATGGCTATTCCGCATCAACCCCGAAAACCTTAGAGGGCCCTGCACTAGTGAGGACTGTTATCATTTTGTTGTTTGTTTTGGTTATGGAAGTTTTGAGTGGGATGATGGAGGGTTTTCAAGTTGGGCATGTGGATGGCTCCCTTTGCAAGTTTTATGTTGATGAAACTATATCATAGTTTGCGGGACAAATGTAGAGTACCTAGGCTCTGCTTGGTTGTGTTTTTGTTTTCTTTGTTTTCATTTTATTTGTGTTTTGAGAAATAAAAACAATGAAAAGTTCAAAGCACCATTGTTTCTGAAGGGATTAATGCTTTCTCTAGTGAGTGAGTTTGTTTTTTTTCTTTGAAAACCCGTAGTTATTAATCCCATATCAGCCAGTGTATTGTTTTTATCATTGGTCCGATGTGTACTAGTACCGATGCATTTTGGCATACCGTTTCAGATTTGTTGCTACACTCTAGTTTAAGCTACTCACACTTCATTTCTTGTCCTTCATACTCTCACAAGAAGAGTGTGAGACTCCAAAAGTCAAGTGTGAATATCATTACCCTAAATATTATATATTGATCTATTATTCTAAATTCACAGGCCTTTAAGAAAAAAGTTAACTCTAAATGTATTAATTATGTAATATGATTTATATACTCGATTAATTCATTCATATCATAACATGCAAGACTTCAAGCCTTTTAGTATTTTTTGTGCAAAACAATAAATTCAGTCATAACCTTTATATAAAGTAATATACAATTCTTAAATATGGTTTAACATCTGAGTAAACAAAGAGTTGTGTGAGAGAGAATCATGCCTAAAGAAACTATCCATCCAGCCTTATTAAAAAATGTCAGAATGATATGAAATTTGCTTTTGATACAATGACTAATGGAGGTGTTCAATTGAACTAATAAATAAAAAATTTCAAAGCATGTTGTACTGGTATGGCCTGGACATAATACTGTAGAATGACGAAATCAGGATGTAACAGTTGGGATTCACTGCAATAACCTGAAAATTCAAGCTAGACGAAACACAGGCTTAATAATACTGTTTTTGGCTGGAACATATACCAGCCCTTACTGTATGTAACTAATTTGATAACCATGGCTCCCTTTGTTGGGCTGTATTATTTTTGCTTGGTGATGTTGGTTTGATTAACGTTTCTTTTTTTCAGTGTGGGAGTACCAGATTCTGTAGATATTATATGTGGCCTTGTAGTTTTTCCTGTTCACTTTCATTTTGTATCTGGAATCTGAATTTGGTGATTTGTTTAGGTGGCTCCACCTCCACCTATTCCTGGTTCTGCGCAACAGACCAGAATGTTTGGGATGCCACCGCAACCTCCGAATCAATCTATGGCTACTATATCGCCTGCTATGGGTCTCATGGGAACATCAATGGCAGGCCCGTCGAAGATCGATCCCAACCAAATCCCACGCCCCATACCAAATTCCTCAGTGATTATACATGAAACTCGTCAGGGAAACCAGGCCAACCCCCCTCCGGTATTTTTTTTTGACTGTTAATCTGAACTGAAAAAGAAGGAATTAATTTGTTTGAATTTGAAATCTGTTACTTTTAGTTATAACTTTGCACCTTTATCTGTTTAAATTTCCTTTTTCTTCATCATTTCCCCCCTCATTTTGTTCTACATTTCCACCATTATCTGTTTAAATTTCCTTTTTCTTCATCATTTCCTCCCTCATTTTGTTCTACATTTCCCCCCCGCAAATTAATGCAACAATGTGATGCACACCGATGATGCCATGGTGAGATATAAACTGCTACATGACTTGATAATATTTATATTCTGATGCACATCATGATGTGATAAACATTTACAATTTTACAGTAATAGATTCTTCACTGTTTTTTCTTTTCTGATTACTTGCTTTTTGATCCTTTTTTTTTATTTTTTTTTATGTTCTTTATTTTGGAAGCCCACTACAAGTGATTATATTGTCAAGGACACTGGCAATTGCAGTCCACGCTACTTGAGGTGTACTATCAATCAGGTAATAATCAAATATCTGATATCCTTGTCCTTACTCTTGTTTTTTTTTTTTTTTTAATTAATGTGTATAAACTCTTTTCTATTTTTTTTGGCAGATCCCATGCACTGTTGATCTTTTGACATCTTCTGGAATGCAGTTGGCTTTGATGGTCCAACCCATGGCCCTTCCTCATCCATCTGAGGAACTCATCCAAGTAATGCTTTGATTTATTTTTTGTTTGATCTTCCTATTGATGTTTTCTCATGGTAAATAGATCAATTTGTTTTGTTTATTTTTCTTCTTAGTCCGTCTTTCTTTCTTTCATGTTTGAAAGATCATTGTTTTTTCCTTTGTCAGCCAGTGAATTGTGAAATCAGAAATATTTAACAAGATTAAGCATCAGCATGGATGTTCAAGTTACTGCTGCATGCTCATTGTATTACTGTCCTATTTTGAGAGAGTTCTCTTTTTTCAAGCCTTTTGGCTCATTGGGATACAAGGATTATAAATTGTCATCTATTTGTTGTCATATTTTTGTATGTATTTGGTTCCAGAAAGCAGTCCATAGTGGTATGTAGCGCCTAGGTAATAGTATAAGTTAACCTTTGCTACTGCTACAAGGAGATGAGTATAGTATAGGTTCAAGTGTCATGATTGAAGAAGTCAGAAGTTTGAATTTCTTTGTCAGAACTATGACACTGTCTTATTTAATCACATTGTATGTGGAAAATTGATTATAATTGGTTATATTTCTAATTTTCCAATTTTAGTTGGAGCCTGAAATGCAGCAAATGAAATCAAGGTGGGTATTTATTATTAATATTTACTTAGAAGTTAATATAAAATTCAAAATCCTAACAAAATTATTTATTGGTATCATCAGATCACAAATCACTAAAAACTCTAGAATCTAACACTCAAATTGAAACATGTGTCAGTTAGAATTTAGGAGTTTGCAACTGAATATCAAATAATTGAATCCTATGACCTATGAAGCATGGACACGGCAAAATCACCGTCGTGGCAATGTCGGACACGGGGACATGTACGGGACACGCCATCGGCCGTGACCCTTTAATTTAATTGTTTTTTTTTTGTAGGGGACAAGCCCGGGACACGCGTGTCCAGATCTGGACGCGACATGAGACACGGCAAGGAGAGAGAGACAAAGGAGAGAGAGTGTGAAGGAAGAGAGTGAAGAGACAAACCTGTCGTGCGACTGAAGACATCCAATTGATCAATCGAACATCCAGTCGCCGCATCGACATCCAGTCATCGACGATCTGTATCCCTTCGACTTAACGACTTCCACCGTAAGTATCTCTCTCGCTCGCGTCGTCTTCTCTCTCTCGCTTGCATCTCTCATCACTCTCGCGTCTCTCGTGCTCTCTCTCTCTCTCTCTCTCTCTTGCTCGCGTCTCTGTCTCTCTCGCCGACTCTATCCCTCTTGCCTTCTTTCTTATCTTATATATATATATGTATTAGTATATATAAGATAATATTATTTTATAAGTATAGATAACATATTATATACTATTTATACATATTAATAAAAAAACACATGTATATAAAATAAAATAAAAAATTATCAGGAACACATAATTTAAAAAATATAATAAATAAATAAAATAATTAACGTATATTAAAATAAAAATGTTTATAAAAAAAAAAATTTAGTTGTGTCCCCTGCCGTGTTCGTGTTCGTGTCTGTGTCTGTGTCTGTGTCTGTGTCCTCATTTTTTGAAAATTGTTGTGTCCCGTGTCCGTGCTTCATAGCCTATGACTTGTTGACCACTACCCTACTTGAGAATCATTTTTCATCCAGTAAATGTCGCTACTTTAAAAGCCATTAGTCAATAGTAATGCGGCCACTGTGGTTGCTGGGAGTGGTGGACTTGGTAAAGTGTAATGAGGTGGCCAGCTTTGTTGATAAAAGAAGTTGAACCTGTCAGTTTGGCTCTGGGTTCCATTTGAATGAAGTGGCTGCCATTAGATATGAGCTGGTCCTCTCGTGCATGTCAGCCTCATCTTATATGTTCAAAATTCTGTTTATAATAACTGCATTTGGCGTCCATACACGTGTGCATATGTGTACACTAATTTATCATTATTTATAGATGTATGTGTATGTAGTAGTTGTCACAGCCTATGGAAAGGATTTTTTTTTTTTTTTTCACTTCTTTCTGCATGCAACCAGCAGAAACTTCTTTTTTGGATTTATTTGTGGTGCGGGGAAGATTTCTATAGCGAGGTTTTAGTGGCTATTTTAAAAACCAAGGGTTTCTGTTTCTTTGCTTATGGTATCTTCAGGTTTTTGTTTCTTTAAATCTCCTCTTGTTAGGGAGATTTAGAGTTGTAATGCCTACTTTTTCTCCTTATGGGAATTACTGGATTTGTTGACAACATAAGGAAGAAGGATTAAGTCTTGTCTTTTCATCTGCACTTATTTCTTTGATTCTTTCATGATTTGATTGTTGTTAGGGTGTTTATTTTTAGGTTGTTCTTTTCCTTTTTCTGAGATAGTAGGATTTGAATCACACATCAGGTATTTTATGGTAATGAGAACATCACCATAGAGCCAAGAAAAATATGGGGTAAATGTGTTTCAATTGATCGTGTTCTTCACCCTTTCTCACCTCATCCCTTTGCTTTTTCTTTTGCGTGTGCTTTTTTTTTTTTTTTGGGGGGGGGGGGGGGGGGTGTAGGTTGGTATTTATACTTTTTCTTACCCTTGGGAGTTTCCCTTTCTTTTATGCTGTTGGGAATTTGAGGCTGTGTAGAAAACGACATTGCATGTGTGCGCACAAACACACATGACAACTATAATGAAGTCCTATTACATTTTTTATTTTGTTTTTTAGTTCACGGTGTTAAAAGAATATGTAATTAAGAGTTTTTGTTCCTTTTTTTTTTTGGATAAGTAATCTGTAGTTAAGACATTTCTTTAGTAGTATGTTCCTCGTTGTCATAAAACCTGGTTGCAACATGGTTACTATAATCAAATCTCATGATCATACCACAGTATTGAATGCATCTGCTGGGTGGGTCAGTTCTTGTGTTCAACTTTTAGTATTGGGCAAAAAGGGGCAGGAACTGGGATTTGGTTATTTGATTGATTCTGAAAACCAGTGTTTTAAAAAGCGCGCTTAGGTGCGCGCCTAAGCTCAAGGCGAGGCAAGGCGCAACTTTGCGCCTCAGTCATGGCGAGGCGAGGCGACACAGGGGAAGCGCTGCCTAGGTGATGAGGCGAGTGCCTTATTACGAAGCGCAAGGCGAGCACCTTGTGCGCCTCGGTTTTCTTCCACTCCAACAGGTTCTGCTCTCTTCTCCTCTTCTCCTCTTCTTCTCTTCTCTGCTTCTTCTCTTCTGCTTCGTCTTCGTCTTCTCTTCTCTTCTCTTCCCTTCTTTCGTTGTCTTCTTCTCGCTTCTGTCTCGCTCTGTCTCTCTCGCCTTCTCTCTCGTGATCTCTCTCTCTCTCTCCTGTCTCGTTCACGATCACTCTCTCTCGCGTTCTCTCTCGCGATGACGATCATCTCTCTCTCTCTCTCTTTAGAAGATTGAATGTTATGTTTAGAGATTATTGAAAATTGTTATGATTTTTTAAATTATGTATATATATATTTTTTGTTAAAATTTTTGCCTCTTTTATAATTTTGCCTTTTTAAAATTATGTATATATATTTTATTATTTAAAAATAAACACATGTATATAAAATAAAAATATACTTATGTAAAATAAAAATAAACACATGTATATAAAATAGAATAAAAAAATTAATTAAAACACATTATTTAAAAAATATAATAAATAAATAAAATAATATATATATTAAAAAATTAATTATTTTTTTTCTTCTTATTAAAAATATTAATAATATGCATATTAAATATTTGTTTATGTTGAAAATTGTGCTTTATTAATATTTTGCTTAACTTCTATAACTTGCGTCTCGCTTTGGTGAGGTGCGCGCCTCGCCTCGCGCCTCGGGGCTTAGGCTCCAGGTGACCTTGGCGCCTCGATGCGCCTAGGGCTTTTTAAAACACTGCTGAAAACGTTATTTTTGTTGTTCTTTCTTTCTTTTTATCTCTCTTTAGTAATAGAAATGGTTGAGATTGGGCAGCGTGTTGGAAAGCATTGCAACTTAATATGAATTTCAGCGTTTAAATTTGGATTATTTTTCTACATCTTTTATCTTGCTTTTCTTCTATTCATTTTTATTTTTAATACATTTTGATTTGACCTTTATTAAGCAATACATGTGAACTAAGAAGTACAGACACTTCTAAGAAGGTGACGTATCCGTGTCGTGTTCGTGTTGGACAGTGACACTCTTTGGACACTCTTAGGACACGTGTCCAATATTCTTCAAAACGTGTCCTATTTTTTAAAGACCCGAACACTCTTTGGACACTTGGAGAACACACGTATCAATTGCTTAAAACATGTGTCAATCGCTCAAACACGTGTCAATCGATTAGGCACATGTGAAATTATAAGTTTGAACAAAACAACTTAAGATACAATAATAAAAGAAAATCCATATAAATTTATAGAAATTAGTGTCATATTGTATTTTTCATTATCTTTAAATGATATATTTATATACATAACATATAATAAATATATAAAATTATATATTTCATGCGTGTCCTCCACGTGTCGTGTCCTACATTTTTTGAAAATTAGCGTGTCCGTGTCGTGTCACGTGTCCGTGCTCATGCTTCTTAGCATGTGAATAAAAGACCTTTTAAAGTTCAAATGAAAAATAAAATATATCATTTTGGCTCTACAATATCTCTTAAACATGGCATGTGTTACTCTATAGGTTGTGGATTTTGGCGAAAGCGGTCCTGTTCGATGTTCTCGCTGCAAAGGCTATATAAATCCATTTGTGAAGTTTATTGATCAGGGAAGACGTTTTATCTGTAACTTCTGTGGTGAGTACAAATGATACCTTCTATTTTTTAGCCTGCTTGTCCATGTGGTACTTCATTACAATTTAGTTACTCTTTCGTATACTACATTGTTTTTATTCTTCTTGAGATTCTCTTTGTTAGCGTTAATTTGGTCTGACTGGGGGAATAATAAGCTAAATTCCTTGGTCATTTTACAATGCCAAATGTGTCAGATTTTGGAATTTGATACCTATCATTGAGCAGCTGTATTTATTCTTAGGTGATAAGAATTTTAGTTGTCATTTATTCAATCATTGAAGCAAGGAGATTATGCAGTTATTCATTCCTGTTGTGGGCACTAGTCGAAATGTATTGTCAAATAAATAATATTAGTCCAAGTAACATGTGATTTTTTTTTAAAATTTATTTAATTTTTTTCCTCTGTTGCATTGTGAAATATGTACTGCAACTGTTGAGGTTCTGAATCTGCCATACATGTCATTTGTTTTTCAGGATTTACGGATGAAACTCCCCGTGACTACCACTGCAATTTAGGTCCAGATGGTAGGCGTAGAGATGCTGAGGAAAGGCCCGAGTTATGTAGAGGAACAGTTGAATTTGTTGCTACCAAGGAGTACATGGTTAGTAACATAAGGTTTGCAGGTTATGCATGCAGAGTTTGAGCTCTAATAGTGCTGTTTTGCAAGTTTTTGTCGACCCTTCTTATGAGTGTGAATATAGGTTTCAGTCTAGTTGATAATTTGTCAGACAACTTGGACTGATTCTTTTAGCTTAAATTGCCGTGATATTAGCTGCCTATTTTGTTGCAAATTCATTATATTGATTTTTTGGGAGAACTGGTGTTACTTCTCTCCCTTTCCTTGCCTTCTTGATGATACATGATAACTAATTCTTCACAACTTCTCTTATTATCAGGTGCGTGACCCGATGCCTGCTGTGTTTTTCTTTCTTATTGATGTATCCATGAATGCCATACAGACTGGTGCAACTGCAGCAGCTTGCAGTGCAATCAACCAAGTTATTGCGGATCTACCTGTAAGTTATATTTCTTTTGCAGTATGTGGTAACATTTTATTTGCCCACTTGCGTGAGTGCATTGGTCTAATCTCTATTAGATTCAGCTAGCATTTTATATGATCCATGCACCTATTGTGCCCAAAAAAAAAAAATTGGGAAAGAAAAAAGGAGACCTATGCACTTATTGCCTTTAGGCCTGCAATTTTGTTCTGCTAGAGGTTTTTGAAATTGTTATACGTAGGTCTTTCCCTTTCGTTGGTAATAAAAAAAAAAGTCCTTTTTTTAAATTTTTTTTTTTATAATTAGAATAGTCTCTGATGTAGATTGTCCCAGATTTTTCTTGCCAGCACCTGTTTGCTTGGGTGAATGGTAGTTTTCTGATAAGTCTCTATCTATTACAGAGATCTTCCTTGGCGGAATCCGTCACCTTGGCATCCTTGCATTGTAGATAGGTGATGGTGGAATTTGGTGTGTTTAGATTGTAATTTTATTATATTTCTGCTTAGTAAGATTCATACATGTGTCTGCTAGAGTGACTTTCTTATATGTTTTGTTCTCTATTTAATTTTCTTTCCAGTTCTGATCTTTTTTTTTTTTGTGTGGTAATTTTATTATATTACTGCTTAGTAAGATTCATACATGTGTCTGCCAGAGTTTGACTTTCTTATATGTTTCGTTCTCTATTTAATTTTCTTTCCAGTTCTGATCCTTTTTTTTTTTTTTGTGGATAAATTATAATTTTATTAGACCCGAAGCATCAAGAAGATGCTAAAGAATACAAAACTGAAACCCCCCCAAAAGAGAAAACACCCAACCAATCACATCATGTATAAAATCCAAAAAAGAAAACAAATCTGGGTCCACTTGCCCAGAATCTCAGCCACACAAAACTTGAAGAAAACGATTTTCTAGCCAAGACATGGACCAAGTAACTTCCTGAAAAATACGACGATTCCTTTCTAACCAAAGCAACCATATTAAGCGCAAAGGGGCCAAAGCCCAAACCTTCTGTTGCCTCTTCCCAACCCGATTCCCTCCCCAACTCCAGAGAACCTGTGTCACCCCCTTCTGCTGCACCCACAAAACACCAAAAGTAGAAAAAACAAGCGCCCACAAACGAGAAGCCATCGGACAGTGAATAAGAAATTGATCCACCGACTCCGCATCACCACAACACATATCAATAGTAAGAATCCGACCATAAGCTGCTGTCCGCACAAAGAAAGCGACTTTGGATGGAACACCTGTAACCCAAATCCAATGCAAGGGAAAACATCCTTCCCCCTCCCTCTTACATGCACCTCATATAAGAAACTCAGTAAATCAACCAACTAACCAATTTCCCAATCCTGAACCTGTCGATGTAAAACAAGATCCCAAACCATCCCACCCCCATTTCTAGTTCTGATCCATTTTTTATTCACTACCAGCACCCTACTGCTGTTATTGAAGAACATTTTACTTATGGATGTGGTGACGATTTCTTGCAGGAGGGTCCTCGGACAATGGTAGGTGTTGCTACATTTGACTCGACAATTCATTTCTACAATCTGAAACGTGCTCTACAGCAGGTCCGTATTCTTCTACAAAAGGTTCCTGTGTCCCAAATTTTCAGTTCTTCAGTTGGAAACTAGTTACTTTGCTTTATAGCATTTGATTCTTTATTCCTCATCTTCTTCTTTGAATTTTTATTTGCTTATTTGTTTATTTGTCACAAACAAAGATACTTCATTATGGAGAACTGAAAATCACAATGTTATTATTCTTCTATGTCTTAGCTAATCAGCTATGATGTGCATCGATGAAGATGGTTTGTTTGATAACCTCATTAACTGCTTCAATTTAAAACTGTTCATTGGAGCTTCTGTTTAGTGCATTTGATGATGCACAACCCATATGGTTATTACAAGGGTTTCAATTTAAGTTGAATATGTTCACTGTATGCTGAATATGCTCAATGGAAGGTGGTTTTAAATTTTAATTTTAATAGACAAACTTATGTTCATAATTTGATTTTTGAAGTTCATTACTTAATTTTTCAGTGTTAATAATTCAGTGGTAAATTTTTATAGCATTTGATTTTAAGTTTTATCAGACAACTTCATACTCTCGTGCTTTCAGGAACAATTAGTACTAACACCTGCATGCTTTATTTTCCTCCCTCCCAGCTGCATCTGGGGTGATTTTTTTTTTATATGCAATTTTTGGTCTATTTGATGGTATATATGTTTGATCTTGTTGTCTGTGTGTTGAGGATACTCCTAACCTAACATCAGGTTCATAGTATCTGATGCGACGAGGCTGAGAAAATAAAGTATAAATTATAACAAAAAATTGGCCTGAAGCAAAATTTGTGTGGATGCTTATTTTTTTTATCTTGAATCTACGTTCACAGCCATTGATGCTCATAGTTCCCGATGTACAAGATGTTTACACTCCTCTCCAAACTGATGTTATTGTTCAACTTTCTGAGGTCAGTTTATTTTCTTTCTTATTTATTTATTTTTTTTTCTGTTTTTTCTGGTAGTAGAGCAGTTTGCAATTGCATGGAATTAATTTTGAGCAAATTATTTTATAATTGTTATTTTTACTCCTCAAAGGAACTTTTAAGTAATTTGGTTGGTTGTTTTGAGGTTTAGTGCCGTCAACATTTGGTGCTGTTGCTGGAAAATATCCCAACAATGTTCCAGAATAACAGAACTTCTGATTCAGCCTTTGGTGCAGCTGTCAAGGTTTGTTAATTTCTTTATGGTTGACAGTTATATATGACTAATTTGGTATGTGTATGTTGAAATTTGCATCTTTTTGTTACTACTTTAGGCTGCCTTCTTGGCAATGAAGAGTACTGGAGGAAAACTTCTAGTATTTCAGTCAGGCAAGTCCTTGAACTTTTTGTCATCTAACTTTTGCGGATTTGGCGTAAACAACTATGAAATTGTTAGTCCTATCCGTTTTATGTTGCTAAGTTTTTCTCAAATCATATTTTGCTTCTTTTCTGTTTTCTCTTGTCATTATTAATTTCAAAAAACACTAACCAGGCATATAATTGCAAAGAAATCCTCTACTTTTGATTACTCTATTGATACTAGTTTTTTTTGTGAATTTAGAAACAGGAATACATGTTTAATCATTTTTATGATGTTAAAGCTATTTGTTGCATTTATGGATTATCTCCTTTATTTTATATATAAGTACTAAAATACTTTTTCTCTACTTGTTAATCATTTTCCTAGTTATTATAATTTTATTAACCAAGCCACCCTCTCCTCACCTAAGCGTTTCCATGCCTCAGTAGGGATACCATCTGGTTTTATAGCCTTGCTTGATTTCATCTTCTTTTGTGCAACTTCTACCTCAAACTTCCTTATTCTACGAAAAAACTTGTGTTCTCTAGTTTCATCAGGGCTATCAGATTTGCTTAATCTCCTCATCCTTCACTAACACTCTAAAATCCTCACTTTTATACAATTAACCTATTAAAGTCTCTTGTTTTTCTTTCTCTAACCTTGGCAAGTTTGTATAAAAAATTTCCTTCTATCTTATTGTTTAATCTACTATAAAGATCTTCATAGGCTTTTCATTTAGCATCTCTAACTGCCCCTTATTTATAAAAATATATTTGAGGTATTTAAAAGTTACACTACAATCCAAATTTCATTTGTTGGGGTTTCTTGGAACTTAATAACCCAAATTATGTCACTAGAAATATGTGCTTTGGGCTTGACATTCATTGAGAGTATGTGTTCTTATGCTCTTAGGTTGAAGCTAGGTAATGGATAAGTTTCTTACATTGCTGATTTCTCTCTTTCTAGATACCTGTTATTGTCAATTTCCATTGTTGTGGTGCTCTTCACTTGGCATGTGAAGCTACTTATCCATTATATTGGTCATTCTCTTTTGTAGTACAATTTGGTTCGCCTATAGTCTAGTACAGATATGTTGACAGAACTGATGGGTCTGAATTTGATTTTTGTTCTATGTTGTGTACAGTCTTGCCATCAGTTGGGATTGGAGCCCTTTCTGCTAGAGAGGCCGAAGGAAGAACCAATATCTCTGCCGGGGAGAAGGTTTGCTTATCTGATATATATCTGTTCCTTTCTTCTGTATGTCCTTGGGTGTTTATTGCTGCATTGTCCTTCCTTTTTCAACTTGAGGTGGATGGTGAGCTAGGTGACCACAGGCTTCTTGTGCAAACTCAAGGAGGTGGTCTCCCTTTCTATATTGGTTGAACTTCTGAAGCTCTCCATTACGTGGATATAGCTTATATTAATTAGTACTGAGTATAGGCATCAGATATCTGGGTATTTCTCGTTTTTTCCAAATTATTTCTTTCCTTCTTTTTCTGTGTCTAGAAGAGTGAAGAGAAAAAGGGTGGTTATGGTAATCAATATGGAACTGTTTCTGATTGAAAAATTGCCTCAACCACCAATCTAGGGGAGTTGTTCAACCTTGCAAATTCCAGATGTAGATAATGTAAACCCAGTTGTGTATCATGGATGGTTGCTAGTAGCAAGAATCTGTAGTTATTATGATGAGTTTTCCCTGAATTGAAGATTCGAGTTTAGTATTATGACTATTCTGCTTGCGTTACACAATATTTTTGGCGAAATGCAGCTTTAGCAGTTCTTGTTTTTGGTACTTGTGCTTTCTATCAATATGGTCACCTGGCAAGGCTTTTGAGAGAATGCATCAAATCCGATGACCAATTAATCAATACCTTTTTTATTTTATTTTATAATAAATAATTTTGAAATGCGTGGTGAATTGATAGAACCTCTCTTTCCTTGAGAGCTTGTATTGTTTGTCAATAGCTTGGAAATGAGACTCTCTCTCTCTCTCTCTCTAAATGACCAGCCTAATTTTTCTCTTTTCTAATTTTCTTATTTTTTCCCTACTATTTTTTTGTAGTACTTGTTGATTTTCATTAATTCATGTACATCTGTATCCTTCAAGATGTAGATTGGAAAATAAAGATAAACTAGTTCAACATAGCTATGAGATTCTGGCTTTATAATATAGTGTATGTGGTATGTGTTATGCTTTTATGCTACATTTGGTTGATTAGTCGTACCATATTAATATAAATACATGTGACTAAGGGAGTGAATCCTAATTTTTAGTATTCGGCAATCAGCACCATAGGATCTTTCAGGAAGTTCAACACCAAGATCAGGATGAAGAAATTTCATAAATTGACGAGCATCATCACGATTCTGAAAGAGCAAAAAAGTGAGAGAAAGTAGAGAGAGAGAGGAACAGTAAACACTCAATCTCTTCCCTCCTTCGCTCTCTGAGTTCACAGTCTCTCTCCGATCCGACGGCCACGATCTTCTTACGCCAGCGGTGATCTGTGGACTAGCAACCTAGTGTGCACAGGCTTCGTCGATAACAGCGGAGACGGAGGGTTTGCTTTGGCGAGGTATGTGTAAGAAAAATCTTAGCGGACTAGGTTGAGGTCCGGCGGGCAGCTAAGGTGAGGATGCCGCCCGCCGGGGAAGCGAAAATATCAGGTTCTAAACCTGCTCTGATACCATGTAAAAATAGATGTTTTATTGATTGTTGAATTGATTGATCTATTACAAGATTGTTGTGTGATATTGATATTACAAGGATTCCTATTATATAGAAGAGGATTTGGGTAGTAGGTGAGGAGTAGGTGAGGGTAAATTGGTGGTAGGTGTAGTAGGTGTGGTAGTAGGTGGTGGTAGGTGTAGGTAAATTCTAACATGGTATGTGTTATGCTTTTATGCTACATTTGGTTGCTTAGTCGTACCATATTAATATAAATACATGTGACTAAGGGGGAGAATCCTAATTTTTAGTATCTCACATTAGCCATACACGGTCTCTCTCTTCTCTTCCATCATTCTTTTTTTCCATCTCCTTGCTGTAAGTTTAACTATTATGTTTGTTGTTGAATTTTAGGAGGCCCATAAATTACTCCAACCAGCTGACAAAATTTTAAAGACATTGGCTGTTGAACTTGCAGAGTACCAGGTGGAGTTTGACTGATTTGTTTTTTCCTATTCGATATAGTTCTGAAATTTCCCCATGGTGTTTATTGAGACTTATGATGGATCCCTAATTTTTCTGTGATTCAATCTCACTGTTTTCAGGTCTGTGTTGATGTATTTATTACTACCCAATCTTATGTAGACATTGCTTCAATCTCTGTTATCCCGAGAACTACTGGAGGGCAGGTATTCATTATTGACTATTTATTCTTCGAGAGTTTTCATCTTAATTCTGAATTGATAGTCGCAGTTCTGTCCCAAGAATTGTTGATTTGTTGTTGAAAAGCATAATTGTTGCATTTTGATTTCTTTTAAATGATTAGTTTGCAAAGCTGTCTATGTATGCAAATATATGGCATCTAGGTATGTTTGTCTTATATGCTACTCTCATTTGAAAAGAGACTGCAAGTTGGATGTGACTTTCTTATGCGAAAATCTGCAACATACTCCTAAATAGCTTGGTGAAAGTTGCAGTAGCACAGTGTGCAGGATCTATTGATGGTGTTTTTAATTATTTTATTCAAAGTTGCATTTTGAACTGTTCTCTTCTTGACAAACTGATCTTTTAAGTAACAATTTGTTAACTTCAAATGACATCAAGCACAATGTATTAATAATAAGTTATTGGCATTAGCATTTGCCCATGCTCGTTTTAGTTTATTTTTTATATTGCTCCTGTGCTTGTAGTTTTATTTTTCCAAAGTTCTGAGGTACTTTCATTAGACACTAGACAGCCACCAAATCCACAGGGTAAATCAGAAAACTTCAAATTTAAACAAAGAACCTACTGTAGGCATGCCTACCTAAAATTCACAAGTTTTCTTAGAAAGAAATGGTGAAATAAGATATTAAGGCCCCATTTGGTGTTGTGGTGAGTTTACATTAGAAGATCTTTACGGTTGCTTGAAGTGGTTCATGGTTTCTTTAGCTGTATCTGTGAAGTACGTTGACTTTTAGTGGTATGCACAGAAAGTACTCTTCAATGAAGCAGTGATGAGATGCTTTGGCGAGAGAGGAAATCAAGCTCTTCTTGAATTGTGTAACCAAACAGCACATACTTCTTTACTGCAGCCTCTTGTCTGCATAGTTCTTAATTGAAAAGCACCTCACTAAAAGTCATAGTACCACCAACTGGGTCCAAACTTTCTTTGCTAATGATTGTGTTAACAATGTCCTCTAATCTTGTTCTGTTGGAAATCTCTGCAAGCTTGTAATCCTTCCCATGATTTTTGTTTGTCCTTTTCATTCACTCATCCTGCTGTCTAGTTCTTTCAATATGTGAGTGGTAAACTCTGTTCTAATTTTTCTAGCCACGGGAAAATTGGAATCAAGTTCTTTTTGCCTTCTGCTACCTTATTTTTACAGGGGAACATGTTTTCTTTTTTTTTATTTTCATAAATGTCACGCATTGCAAATGCTCCTCTGGTGAACTACTGGAACCAGACTTAGTTTGACCACGAATTAAGCATCTTTTTTCCCCAAACAAGTGAAATATAATATAATCCATAAACATGATGATGAATTGAACTAGATGCTGCGACACTAGATGGTAAACCCTCATTAAATTTTCCTTTCATGCATGAATATCTTAAGGTGTGGGTATTTCTGTTGGATAGCTTGATATACACTGTTGGGCCCATTTCGTAACAACTTAAGCCTTTGGGACAATTGGTGATTTAGCATTTTGTTTTTTTTTGTTTTTTTTGTTTTTTTGTTTTTTTTTTTTTTTGGGTGGAAAAAAGGGTGATGCTTACTGCATTCTTTCTTCTCTCTTTGCAAAACGGGATTGCATGTGAAGGAGGGTGTTGGATAGTTTGATATATTTTTTTGGTTCCATTTCCTATCAACTTAAGTTTTGGGGACAACAATTGGTGATTTATTTCACCCTTTCTTCCAGGTGTATTATTATTACCCTTTCTCTGCTCTTTCTGATCCTGCAAAACTTTACAATGACCTTCGATGGAACATCACAAGGCCCCAAGGTTTTGAGGCAGTCATGCGTGTAAGATGTAGCCAGGTGAGTTTCTGATAGTACTGCTTTTTTGGCCATTGATCTGTATTATAGTTAAAGTGTACCTCTGGTATATTTTAAAAACACTGCTCTGTACTCTCTGGAAAAAAAATTATATTATTTTTCTTCTTTTTAGGGTATTCAAGTTCAAGAATACTCTGGAAACTTCTGTAAGCGCATTCCGACAGATGTTGACCTACCTGCGGTTAGTACATATTTTATGAAATGCTATCCTCCATTACTGTTTAAGTGGTGTAAAACCATGGAATTTTTTTTATCTATGCTGAGGATGATAATTTGATTAAAATTTCAGCCATACTCTACATTTTGCTTCGAGATAGTAGTATATTATATACTCTATACAATGCTGTGAGATAGTGAAAATTGATGTGAGCTGGAATGTGAAATTCAGATAAAATGCAGCTGGTTCTTGGCATATGTAACTGCTAATAAGAAGCTGGAGAACTAGGGCCCCATAGTTGGTTTTGTGAAACGAAGTCCCACATCCCTAAGTACTTAAAGTAATGTTAAGCATATAAGCGTGAGGCACCCTCACCTCAATAGCTAGCTTTGGGGGTTGAGTTCTACCCAAGACCGTGTAACATGGTATCAGTGCCGGAGTACTCAGGGATGGGTAGGGTGCATGCCCTTGGCCTGCACATAGGCTTGAGGGAGGGTGAGAAGTGAAGGCATATAAGCGTGAGGGCACCCTCACCTCAATAGCTAGCATTTGAGGTTGAGTTCTACCTCAATGTCTGGAGGGGTTAATCACACAATAATTGCATCATCTATCTTGACCCTGATATGACAATCCTTGAATGGAAATTTAAATAACCTCCCAGTTTCTAATGGAGACGAGATTGTGGAATGTGCATAGTGGGTTCAATCCTGACTTTAGTGTCTCTCTCCTGTGTTCAATTATCCATGTAAACTTCCTGTGTGTTACATTTAGTTACTACTATACTCTCTCCAAAGAATTTTGTAAATGGCTTTAATAGTGCACATCATTTAGGGTAGTGGTGGAAAAATGCATTTCAAGGTGGACAGGATGGGTACTCATTTAGAGTGGCAGTTCAAATAAGGAAAATCTATTGCAAGTATATTACTACCCATGAGGGTATGGCTTGAAGCTATTCTGTAACAATCCTAGTTGAAGTTATTGAAGTACACTGAGAGCCTACTACCCTTTAAGGCTCTTTCCACATTTTCTATTTTACCAGACACTTTTCAATGGTGCTGTAAGGCCATATTTGATTCACAGATAAAGGGACGGGATAGGAGTATTTTAAGGGGGATAAAATTATCCCACTTTTGGCTCACATTTTGTGACGTGGAATAATTTATACTGGGGGTCCCTTTCTCCTGCATATGCAGGATTATTTTGAGCCAAGGGAGATTGGCAAGTGACAACTTATCCCGGGACAAGACTTTCATTGCAAAAATACTAAAATACCCTCCTCAAGATAAGTTATCCCATTATTTTATCCCCAAACCAAAAAATTCCATTTATTTCTCAGTCACAGTTGATGGCTCCCATAATATCCTATCCTATCCTATGTTGAATAGTTCAATTTGATTGTGATTGTCTGATCCCATTTTGAAACAAAAGCTCATAATGTTGTTATGGAAGGTCTTAACACTGACCAAAAACTAGCGTGGTCTTGGCATTATTGTTGTCCAAATGTATGGCAATTTAGTCATGTGTCATTAAAAACCTTATAGGACCTAGTACCGACTGATACTTTCATGCTCTTCGGTAAATTTAAAGACTCATATAAGCAGTAATGGGTGGTGTGGATCAATTTCAATGTGGCACCCTTTTTATGAGAAAATACTGTTGTCTTGTTTGGTGTCTTTCCTTGGTGTTCATCTTGCTTAAAATTAGTTGGTTTTACTGTTGCTTTTTTCATTACTTTTGTTTTTTTTTTCCTTTAATTGCTGTTGCATAATTGCTGATCCGGATTTAGTTGGTTTTGCTTTATTCACTAGTAAGGAAATTGTTCCCCTCCTAATCAGCTTTGCCCTCGTACAGATTGACTCTGACAAAACTTTAATGGTTACTTTGAAACATGATGACAAACTGCAGGATGGCTCAGAATGTGCTTTTCAGGTAAAATTATTTCCATTTATTTACCTATGGCAATCTGTATCCAGCTTTCATATATTCATACCGGCTCTTTTTATTGAACCTCTTGTATTCTTTGTATTGTATGAGAAAATATCAGGTCTCAACTTTTAAATTTTTTTTTTTTGTGCGTCCAGTGTGCTCTTCTTTACACAACTGTGTATGGTCAGCGAAGAATACGAGTTTCTACCTTATCTTTGCCATGCACAAGTCTGCTAAGTAATCTGTTCCGCTCAGCTGACTTAGACACCCAATTTGCTTGTTTCTTGAAGCAAGGTAGTTGATTATGATATTTATTGCTTCTTTGGCTTCTTTAATTGTGATAACTCTTGTTTAGTTAATGCGGCCAAATTAATTTTTTCTACCCAGACTTATTTAAAATAAGTCACTTTGTTTTCTTAGGTTTTCTGTGGCAATTCTGGGCCAACTATATTTTCTTTTTCCAGTATTAATCTTTTTTTAAGGAAAACAAATACTAATTGTGATATCTTATTTTACTAATCTGTAGTGGCAAGTGAAGTTTCTTCCAGTCCACTTCCACAAGTCAGGGAACAAGTGACAACCCTTTGCATCAACATTCTGCACTCGTATAGGAAATTTTGTGCCACAGTATCATCATCTGGACAACTCATCCTTCCAGAGGCACTGAAACTTCTCCCTTTATACACCCTTGGTATGTTACTTGATGCTTGTAAATTATTTTCATCAATTCAGCTTTTGCTTGCCTTGAGTATGGAATTAGTCAAAATGCCCACCCTTTGTCGCAGATAGTTTGATAATTTGGAATATGTATTTACTTTTTTTAAACGTTCTGTTTTCAGCTTTGGTTAAAAGTACAGGTTTACGAACTGATGGGCGAATAGATGATAGATCCTTTTGGATAAGTTATGTTTCTTCTCTTTGTACTTCTATGGCAATCCCACTGGTCTACCCCAGGATGATGGCCATTCATGACCTTAACTCGAAGGTATTAATAGCATTGTATCTGTGTGTCTATGCTCTACTGTTGTTTTTATGTGATCCTAATATTCTTGGTGTTGGTACTGCCAAATTGACAGGATATCAATGAATCTCTTTTACTTCCTTCTATCCCACTTTCCAGTGAACATGTGTGTGATGATGGAGTCTATCTTCTCGAGAATGGGGAGGACTGTTTAGTATATGTTGGGAACTCTGTGGATCCTAATATCATGCAACAATTGTTTGGTATTTCGTCGCTTGATGAAGTTCCAGCTCAGGTAGTCTAATTTTTATTGTTGAGTACAGAATTTGTGTCTAATAAATAGCATCAATTCTTGGTTGGGAACAACATGCATACGAGTTTGAGACCCAATTTTTTTACACCCAAACTTGAATCAATGGTGGGTGATTATTTGTTTAGGATTTGCCACAAGTCAAACCCATATAGGATTGACAAGTAACTTGATGTCCAGAAGATGTATTTAATTTAAATTCTTGTGTTGCTATTTCATCCAAAGAACTTAAAATAGTCTACTTAAGTGTAAAATCTGGTCCCGATTGACCATCCTAATCTTATACATATGTGTTACAAGCTAGTCATTTTATCTGTAATACCTCAAATTTAGTACCTGCTGCACTGCGAAATGTAACTACCAAAGTCTTGATGCTCACTCAGATTCATTTTTCCATCTTCATTTCAAATATGTTGTAGTTTCTTCTGTAAATTTGTTTTGCATGGTTGCTTTGTTGATGAAAAATAGAAATTCCTTTTATTAAATTTTGCGCTAGATTTATTCATCTGCTGGGATGCCTGTGATGTTATTTGTCAATTTACAATTTTTTGTTTTTTTTGTTTTTCCCCCCCTTCAGTTTGTACTTCAGCTATATGACAATCCACTGTCAAAGAAGCTAAATGATGTTGTAAATGAGATAAGGCGCCAAAGATGCTCCTACCTGCGGTATGGCTGGTGTCATAGAAAATTGTGGTTTTGTATATTCTTTAAAATATAGTTTTGATTCGGTTTCAGATTGCTTGATCTATCTTATTTGACTTAATTGTTTACTAAAATTTGCATTTTCATTTCGTTGCAGCTTAAAATTGTGCAAGAAAGGAGATTCATCAGGTCAGTGCATCAGAACAATCCTTCAAATTAATTTAAGGCTGAATCATATTGATTTCTGGACAACCACTCCCCATATTAAATAAACCATAATTTAATTGACACCAAGTGTCCACTCTACATATGAATGAATCATAACTTAATCGAAAGCAATTGAATTTTTTTTTCTTCAATACCTGTTTTTCTTTTATCAGTGTTTATTGTTTGAAGTGTTGAGGCAATATTTGCAATGATAGGTAGCAGTTTCGATGGTTGCATATCTTTTATTTTTTCCTAGTAAAAGGAGCTGTTCCCCTATGCATCCAAAGGGTTGGTTTGAAGGCAACGTGTCAGCATTGTGTCTGAAACAAAATTAGAGTTATGGAGGCTCTCAAATAATTTATATTCTTGCTGGAATGTTATTTCTTAATTTTTTTAGTATATATCAATCCTAAGCAACTACTTTGAATTTTCAAAATGTGGTGATCCTCCTTTACATTGACTATGCGCTGCTCATAAAATCATATCAAAGCTCATTTTAATGAAAATCTCAAATACTAAAATCTACAAGCATCCTCTATCAGCTGTTATATTATGCAAATTTTTCTTTTTCTTAAAATAACTTGTTATATGTTTCTTTTTGTTATTACTGTTCTTAAAAAAATAAAAAAAATGTTTTTGGCAACATACTACATTTCTGTAACTAGTAATTAGGAAACATTAGATCTGTTACTTTTTCAGAGAAGCTTATTAAATACAATAATTTATTTATTTAGTAGAAGGTTAGTTTGGAGGGGGCATGATGTTTATAATTGTGAACATCTCTGTACCCCATCAAACACCTGCCCTGGCATGTTGGTTGGAACTTATCTGACATGTCAATGGCTACTCTTTAGTTGTCTTGTGCGACCTAGGTGATGCTGCAGCTGGTTTTTGTTGTCAATACCAGTTTAGTGTTTGGAATTGTGTATATTGATGGGGCATGGAAGTTTGATCATTCGAAGAGCACATGTTATACCTGCAAGCCAAAAAAAACTATTTTCACAGTAATGATTTGATTTGTACCTAAGGAGAAAAATGTCAGTGGTAAATGGGTTATTTGCGTTTGATCTGACATCCAAGTACATGTCTACATGAAGCATTTTATTACTCAATTCAAAATGGCTGTGAAAAAATTCCTTGTAGAGTTTCTGTTTTGCATGTCTTTTACTTGGTTCATGTTTGATTTGTTTGCAGGGATGTTATTCTACTCTTATATGGTAGAAGACAAGACTCCCAATGGTCTCTCATATGTAGAGTTTTTGGTACATATACACCGGCAAATTCAAAGTAAAATGCCTTGATCGATGGTGTCTGTGTATGTGTGTTCAGTTTGATGACAGTTGTGGATAGCCTCTTTTTCTCGGGGGGACAAACTTGGGATCAAGGCTAAGTTAGAAAATTGTGATTCTGGTATTCCCCATGAGCGGAGTGGAGCGGCCCTGTGAATCAATTTTTTGGATGAGCACAGTTTTGCAGTAAGAGGTGGTTTGTTAGATTTAGTGTGTAACGATAAACTATTTGATAATAAAAATGTAAATCATACTCCTTATATATATATATATGTATGTATGTATGATGCCTTTCTAATTATTCTTCTCTTCTCCCTTTTTTGTTTCTTGTTTACCGTAAACCAGGGAAAGGAAGTGTATACACAAATCTGTTTTTGGTCAATAAGTTTTGTATTTTTATGATGGAATTTTACTCTCTCTCTCTATATATATATATGTGTGTGTGTGTGTGTGTGTGTGAATTGAATAATTCATAATTTATGAGCAAACCTGAACTTGGATGATACCAACAAACAAATTTTGGAGCGATTCTTAATTGATAAATCTTTTATCTTGTGTTTAAATCGTAAAAATAAAGGTAACATTTTATTGATTTAATTATGTTATTTTGTAAATTTTCTTGTGTAATTGTTATACATGAGAGAATTTTATGTCAGTTTTTAATTTTAACCGTTTGGAAAATGGTTGGCATGGGTAGATTAGAGCTTGCTGATTGTATAATGACCAATTTTTTTTTGGGGAGAAATTACATACAGGAGGGAGTAGGGAAAAAAAAATAACTCACATAAAAGGTGCAAGTGATATTTATACTTCACAGTTTTTCATTTTCATCTCATTACACATTTGCACCCTCATGTGTGGGTAATTTTTTTTCCATTCTTCCACCTCCATATGGTTCTTTCAAATTTTTATTCATTTTATGGCACATTTGTTCGGACAATAAGGATTTGTTTGGAGACTAAATATTTTAGTCAAAATGTCATTATAAATTGTTACATTACAATCTATTTTCTGTATATCTTTTTATAAAAAAAAATTGACATATTATTAAAATAGTATGCTGCCAAACGTGGTCTTAAAGAGTCCTAAAAGCAAAGTGCATGACCCAAATCAACTGTGTTGAGCTCGATTGTTTCCTTGAAAAACAACACAATTGACGAAGGCATCCTCTTCTCTCTCTAATCAATTCAATTTGACGACGAAGATGAAGACGATTGAATCATTTGTTAGTCATTGAGTGATGAAACGATTCATTCAGGTTAAAACGATTTTCTTTCTGGGGATAGATAGAGAGTGGTGCTACTTGATACAGCTTTTTGAAGGCTATTATAACTTATTTTAATTTGAGAGTTTATATCAGACTATTTAGTGTAGTTTCTATTTATAATTTATTAGGCAAAAATAGTTTAAATAAGTTTTAAAAAAAATAATGTTAGGGATCTCAAATAATTTATTAAATGTTTTACCAAACCTGTGTGGGACCTACACACATGTGGGTTTGTGTGGTCCCATACCCATGTGAGAAATTTGATAAAATATTTAATAGATTATTTGGAGTTCATAGTATTTTCTTTAAAAAATTGATTATTTGAAAATTAAGAAAAAAATATTTTTAATTTTTACATGTTGATTATCAATTTTTAATTTGAGAAAAATTTCACCAAACCGGACAAGTATATTATATGGGTAAGAAGAATCTATTCTATTTCTATATATGAATGTTTAAAACAGAACAAAATTGTATATATTTTTTAATTTATTCCTTTCTGTTAATTTCTATGACAACTAATGCAGCAGTATATATATATATCTATATGTTTATATATTATCCTATCCTACCCGGCCTCCGAAACCACTTTTGCTTTTTCTTATCTTTATTTTATTTCCTTCTCCACCACAACTTAAAAAAAAAAAAAAAAAAAAAAAAAAGACCCCACACTCATATGAAATATTTGATCATTTGTTTGATAGAAAATTTAAGACCTATATTATTTTCCTTTTTTCCATGTTTCTTTTTGTTAAAAATCAATTTTTTTTCTTCTATTACAACAGTTGATTTAATATTTTCAATTTTTGAAATCACTAAAATTCATAAAATTCCTGCAAAAATACACAGAAGAGGTTATGTATGATGGGAAAGGCTATAATATACACCTCTTAAAAGTATATATCATATACGCGTTATAATTATAGGGAGAAAAAAAAAATATAATTCTATATTTTTTGAGTCATAATTAAAAAAAAATTAAAAACAAAAATATCATAACTAAATACCTTAAATAATGTCATAATTAAAGAAAATAATTAATCATAATTAAAAAAAAATAACATTACTAAAAATATATAATATGAATATGTATAATAAAAGAATAATGATATATGTATTAATTAATATACTAATAGATGATGTGACATAATTTTAAAAGTTTTGAATATTTATAATTTGTATAATAGGTGGGGTCAATAATAATGACATAATATTAATTGGTATACTAATGTATACATTAATTGGTGCATTTAGCACCAAGGATAATAAAATTTTTCTATATATATATATATATATGGGTCCAGTTTGTCTCAAGTTGAGATCAATACTGGACCCGTCCAGTTCGGCCCATGGGGTTCATTTTTTAGGCCCGTTTTGATAATCCGAACCGTCAATGTGTAGAAATTGTCGAGTACTATATGCCTGTAAAAAATCACATTGATCGGATATCAATAGCTATGTGATCAAATTAGTTTTGTATAAAAAAATAGACGGTGAAACAATTAACAGTTGATAAAAAACTATTTTGTTCACATAGCTATCGATATCCGATCAACGTGATTTTTTACAGACATATAATACTCGACGAGTTCTACATATTGAACGGTTCGGATTATCAAAACGGGACCCGTAATAAGCCCTCACGAACCCAACAACACGATCCAGTCCGATGACGGACTGGACCAAAGCCAGACCCTTACAGTTTTACCACAAAAGATTTCATGTATAGTGCAATTACTTTTTCACTATTCTTCTAATTTGCTACTTCTCCTACAAAGGCATTGTTTGGCATATGGAGTTTGGGTTAAAATAGTCACAAAAAGAGAAAATATACTTTTTAACCCAATAAAATAAATTATCACATCAAAATCATAATCATTTCATTTTTTCTCTCACAAAAATTAAAAAAGTTAAAAAGACTTTTAATGTTAGGCTAAAATAACAAAAAAAGTCAAATAGTCAACCCAAATCTGAAAGGAAGGCAAAGTATCTCTTTGACAAAATTGTGTGATTTTGCAATTCCCAACAAGTGTACCACTTGAATGTAAATGTTGATCAACACTTTATTGTTATTTCAATTTGAATTAAAAGAGTTTTCTTCATTTTTTTTATCATGTCAGTAATAAAAATAAAATATATCTATGTAAATTTATAATATATATGGGGAATACACGTCCGTATATGAAAAATATGATCAACAATGATACATCCCACTAATTTAGGAATACTAATGAACCACTAATGAAATAAAAATTCAAAAAAAAAAAAAAAAAAAAACTTAAAATCAAAACATCACATCAATCAGTAAGACTAATTCTTTTGAGCTCCTTTAATACTCTCAATTTAAAGCACCCAAACATCTTTCAAATATGATTGTCGGAAGCATAAGCTATCCCTGTCAATCCGGCATTCACTCTCTCCACCCAGACTATCCAACACTAACTTCTTATTATATTACTAAAAAAAAATTAGTAGTATGTGTTGAGGAATGAAATAAACAACAATGATTTATCTCATTAAAAATATCATCACTAATAACATTAATACATTAAAAAAAAAATATATAACTCTAACTCTAAGACCAAATCATCACATCATTAATGGCGAGAACCACCATCATTTTTCATGAAATAAATAACATTCAATCCTTTGCAACAACAAAAAAAAGATTCAATCCCAGATTTGCATACATAAATATACATATATCACGATCACAATTTTGAGATCTCTATGTAATCTCTCTCTCTCTCTCTCTCTGTGGGAACTTGTTTTGTCCGTCCAAGACACATTGGCTCAATCGTGGGACAATTCAACTCCGTCTTTGTTGTTCTCTCTCTGTCTTTCTCTCGTATACATTTTAACTCCAACCCAATTCAATCGGCGAATCTGTGTTTCTTTGTTATCTAATCTATGGATTTTCAACTGAGTCCTAGCTCCGTCTCTCCTCAACTCAAGGTAATTTCTTGCTTCTTTTTCAGTGCTCTAATCAAATATTTACATTTCTACCATCATCTCAGCTCTTTCTTTTTCTTTCCGTTTTTCTTTTTTGGAATTAGTAATATGTTAACTTGAGCTCAAATGCACCTTTTTTGGGTCAGTATTACATTTGTGTAATTTTATCTGACACGTATGGTTATTTGGATTTGTGCCTTCTTTTTCTGCTTATTCTTTGATTTCTTTGGTTTTTGCAGTTAGTGATTATATTTTGTGTATAGAATAGTTAGTTGCCTTGCCTTTCATTACCCAGATTTCTTTCTAAACTAATAGGATTTGCTCTGAATCAGCTCGACAGTTCTATGTTGTTTCCCCCTCGCCCAGGACCAAAACATGTACAGCCTTGGTGCAGGGGAAATTTCAGCCACAGTTGGAGACCTGCTTCAAGATGCAATACTTATAAGTACCATACTCAATAACTAATTATGTTGTACCAATAAAAGAATGGAAAGCATGGTTTTAAATAACGGTTTCGCGATATGTATTAGTATTGGTGTTGCAGTCATGTATCGGCCAATATCAAACATTATCAACCGATATATTGATGAATAATGATATCAAAAGTCCAAAATCCTGGTACCCAATGATCAATACAATACATAACAGGTGATATTTAAAACCCTGGTGGAAAGTATACAGAAGATTTAAAAAAAAAAAAAATTAGAGAAAAATGTTTTCTACAAGGTTAGAAGCAAGATCTGACCTTGGGAGTTGTTAGAATAGTAGAGAGAGAGTAAAAAAAAAAAAAAAAGAGGAAATAATATGTATTGTATTGAATAATTGTATTGAATGAATTGTCCTATACAATAAAAGACATGTATATATAGGCTGAGAAAGGGTACTAGAAATCTAACTATAAGAAAGAGTATACCTAACTATGACAATATCTAATATATTTAGGAAATCAATATCTAATATATATAGGAATATATACCATATATACGTTAACATTCCCCTCAAACTCAAGGAGGATAAACATCTTGAGTTTGGAGAGAGAAACTAAAATATAAAATAAAACTAAATAAAATAAAAGGCAAATAGATTGCAAAATCCAAACGGGAGTGCAAGGGCGCTTGAAATAGATCATAGGCCAGAATTAAAGCCGGGAGACAGTTTATGGTCGTGTCGGACCATTGTAGGAACTGGCTTAAACTAATGCCAGGACAATTTAAGGTCGTGCCAAACCGATTTAGAAACTGGCTAAAACTAATGCCGAGAGACAGTTTAAGATCATGCCAGACCATTGTAGATATTGGATGTTGAACCAGCAAACGTGGCACACACATAACTTATGACGTGGTGCTGAACGATGATGACAACAGATGACTGAGTGCGTCAGGAGGCGGCTTGGATGGTGCACCAAGGGGCGAGTTTGGTGGTGCGCCAAAGGAAACGGCTTGGATTGTGCGGCAAAAGAGGCAGCTAGGTGGGTTGCATGGTGTATAACCATGTTCACCATGATATAGGTATAATATCTCCCTCAAACTCAAATAGGTTGAAGAAAGAAACCAATTTGAGGTTGAAGCAAAGGGAAAGATAGATGGGAGAAAAAAAAAAGTATTACGAGTAAAAAACAAAAAAACAAAAAAAAAAATATGATCGAAATATTTAGGGTTGGAATAAACCAGCAGATAGAGGAAGCGATACTGAAAGAAAAACATGACAGCGGTATAGGTTAAGATCTGGTGGGCAGCCAAGGCAAGGCTGCCGCCCGCCGATGAAGCGAAATTACTAGGTTCTTAACCTAGCTCTGATGCCATGTTAGAATAGTAGAGAGAGAAAAAAAAGAAAATAATATTTATTAAATTGAATGATTGTATTGAATGAATTTTCCTATACAATAAAAAATCTGCATATATAGACTAAAAGGGTATCCTACTAGAAAACTAACTATAAGAAAGAGTATCATATAAGATACCTAACTATGGCAATAGCTAATATATCTAGGAAATCAATACCTAATATATGCAGGAATATATACCGTATATACATTAACAGGAGTAATGAAAATTTCCTCCCTCGCTTCCTTGCAAATAGATGTTTCATATTAATAATTTGATTTTTTTTTTTTTTTTTCAGACCATTGGTTAGAGGTCTTAACATAGTGAAGCTGTTTGCATTTTCTGTATTTTCAAATCCCATCACCATGATATTTTTTACTCCATTCCCGACTTGCTGATGTGCAGGAGACTTGGCAGCATACAATCCTTCTGTCATTTCAAAGCCTTGGAGTAGTTTTTGGTCGTTTGAGTATTGCTCCCTTATTTGTATTTGCAACCATTGGCACAGAGAATATCGAATCTGTTGACAGGATACATGAGCTCTTTTCCTTTGTATTTTGGACTCTGACCATCATTCCTTTATTGAAGTATGCCTTAATAGTATTGAGGGCTGATTATGCTGGAGAGGGTAATCATATTTCCTTTTGAACTAAAATATTATATTTTTCTTTTTGCTAAGTGAGCTACAGTATTACGTTAATCAAATGGTGTCTTGAAGCATTATTATCTTTAATGAATTATTGCAGGTGGTATTTTTGCATTATACTCCTTACTTTGTAGGCATGCCAAAGTGGGTCTGCTTCCAAATGATAAAAATACCAATGACATTATGTGCTTTGAGGAGCAAACCCCTTCCAATATTGAGGTGGAATCAAGGGCTAGAAGGGCCATTGAAAAACATAAAAGTAGTCACTATTTGATGTTGGTCGTTGCTCTGTTTGGTTCTTGCATGACAGTTGGTGATGGAATTCTTACACCAGCTTTATCTGGTTTGTTGTTCTGTATCATCTGCTTTATATAGACATTGATAACTTGATTTATTTTTCTTTTTCCATTGTATTATATACTATTTTTTCCAAATTTTGCTGGATTTACTTGTTTCTCTGTCCTTTTATGCTTCAGTACTGTCGGCTTCATCAGGCCTTGGAAGATCATTGGCAGATATTTCATATCAATGTAAGCATTAGTAATAGATGTGGATAAAGAACTACTTTTCTCTCACATAATTAGTGCTATAAATTGTATTTTTTTTTCTTTTTGTGTCTGGTTCTTATCAGATTCCTCTTCGGAAAGAACGAGGAACACCTTAGAAAAGGATTTCAAAAAATGTAAGTTCTTTACAATGAAAATAGATGCCTATGACTAGATATCTTGTCCAGCAGTCTTATTCTTCTTTCATAATTTTAATCTACTGTATTTTTGCCAGTTTTTCCGGACCTTTGAATAACATCATGTGAATGAGTCCCAAGAAAAAATTGGGGCCTTGGTGAGGTTCAACTTTTATTCCATGCATTTTCAGTGAATTTCACTCCTACGCGAAGAATGAGAGATAGTCACAATGAAGTCGACATTTTGCATTGCATTTGGAGATTAGTGTATGAACATGCATTAAAGTCTTATACACTTTATCATCTTTTTCGTCATTAACATATCACGATAAATGGTTGGCAGTTTTTTTATGGAATTTTAAAACCATATCTCTTTAAAGCTATTTTTTCCATTTCAATAAATCAAGGCAATTACCCAATATTATGTCTTTTGGTACTCCAGTGAGTGAAAGTTTATCTATCATTTGGAATGGGCGTTCTTGTTTAAACTGGCTTGCCCGATTACCTCTATAGTTGCAGTAACAGGAAAACTTTTGGGATTTCAAGGAATAGTGGGATTTTTTTTTTTGTCTTTTACCATTATTTGCAGTGACATATCGACTATTTATGACTAAATTCTACAAAATTACTGTTTTCCTTTACGTACAGCAGAAAATATATTGAAATGATTTCATTTCCATTGGATGTTAAAGCATGTGGTTCATCCATAATATAGTTGCAGTAACAGGATGTGTCTTGAGATTTCAAGGAACAGTAGGATTTCGTTTTTACCATCAATTGCAGAGACATATTGACTACGCAAGGACTAACTCTATGTTTTCATTCGCATACAACAGAAAATGTATTGAAATGATTTCATTTCGATGGGATGTACAAGCATGCTTTAATCCATAATAAATACTCTGTTGTAAGAGAATTGAGTTCAAAATAAGGAATCTTTTTCATCTGACAGTGTTCATGCTTGCAGTGATTCAAAGCTACATCATTCAGTCTTTTTATTTTTTATGCTAAATGTTTTTGGTGTGTTATAATCAACTTAGCATTCATGACTCTTTATCCTGTTCTGTCAATGGATCTCTGATCTTCAGTAAAGCAACTTTATATCACAAAATGTGCACAGTGCCTACCCAAATCTTCTGCTCTTAAAACAGAGGACGTATGTATTTAAGATGTATTCATCTGTTGGTAGTATTTTCTTATTTTCCAAAAATAGAGCTTCAGAACTGAATAACTTGAAGTTTGAACTCAGTGGATGAATTTCATTTCCTGAGTAACACGGAAGTTTTAACTTGGATTTTATTTCATCATTTTTCTTGTAGATTTTATTTTAGATTTCTATGACTGATTTTCTATTTCTGACCTGCTCATCCCTCGGAATGCTACTTGTTTCAGATGTACCGGTTCCTGCTGCATGTGTTATATTGATTTGCCTTTTCACTCTGCAACACTATGGGAGCCATAAAATTGGCTTTATGTTTGCTCCAGTTGTCATTATATGGCTCTTGTTCATCAGTGGAGTGGGTCTATATAATATCTGTCATTATGACCCCCAAATCATCTATGCTATCTCTCCAACATATATGTACAGATTCATGAGAAGAATTAGCCCTGGAAGTTGGGGATTACTAGGCAGTATCCTCCTTTGTGCAGCAGGTTGGTTAGTATGTAGTAACATTCACGTTCCTTGGTTTAGTTTCTTGTCGTCTCTGATTACGCAGATATTTTGGAAATTTCTGTTTGTTCTGACCAATTCTCATGAAAATGTAATTTTGTAGGATCAGAAGCAATGTTTGCAGATCTAGGTCATTTCTCGAGGAGATCTATCACGGTAATCAAAATGCACATTCATCACCGTCTTTCAATTTTAAGTATGAATTTTCATATGATGTCTTCGCTGCAGGTTACTTTTGTCTGCCTAATATATCCAGCCCTTGTTTTGTGTTACGCTGGTCAAGCAGCTTTTATCTCCAAGAACTTGGGTGTTTCTAAGGATGTTTTTCATCTCAGTGAATCTGTACCCAATAGTAAGTAGTTTTCTTGCTTTATATTTTATTTTTGGGTGGGTCCCTCATCTTGATGTCATATGGTCATGGGCATGGCAAGTTCAGGATCGATTCGCCACATCTTCAGGGTGTTATCGCTATTTGCCTCAGCTGTAGGAAGCCAAGCAACAATTACTGCCAGTTTCTCCCCTGGCACTTGGTTGCTTTCCCTTGGTTGCTTTCCTAGAGTTAAAGTTATCCATACATCAGATAAGATACACGGGCAAGTATACATTCCAGATGTCAACTGGATATTGATGCTTTTCAACATAGCAATCACCATTGGTTTCCGTAACATTTCACTGATTGGAAATGCAACAGGTATGTTTGTGTACTGACATATTTTATTTTCATTTCTTGTTTCTTGAAGCACTGAACCACCTTTGAGATTTGACAATTATACTCCCCTAGGAACATTCAGGAAGCATGTAATCTATAATATGTAATGAATAAGTTTGTGATGATAAAAGAATAAACTAGACTGAGAACAATGTTAGTGCATGACAAAAATTTAATCAAAAAGCACATTTGGTTGATGCTTCTCAAGCATAGCAAAATAGGGTTGCATGAGAGGGAGGGTATTGGATAGCTTTATATACAAGTTGGGCTCATTTCTTAACTGATTAAGCTTGGCAAACAATTTTTAAGTTTACTAATTAACATTGTGTGTCTGGTTCTTATCAGATTCCTCTTCGGAAAGAACGAGGAACACCTTAGAAAAGGATTTCAAAAAATGTAAGTTCTTTACAATGAAAGTAGATGCCTATGACTAGATATCTTGTCCAGCAGTCTTATTCTTCTTTCATAATTTTAATCTACTGTATTTTTGCCAGTTTTTCCGGACCTTTGAATAACATCATGTGAATGAGTCCCAAGAAAAAATTGGGGCCTTGGTGAGGTTCAACTTTTATTCCATGCATTTTCAGTGAATTTCACTCCTACGCGAAGAATGAGAGATAGTCACAATGAAGTCGACATTTTGCATTGCATTTGGAGATTAGTGTATGAACATGCATTAAAGTCTTATACACTTTATCATCTTTTTCGTCATTAACATATCACGATAAATGATTAGTAGTTTTTTTATGGAATTTTAAAACCATATCTCTTTAAAGCTATTTTTTCCATTTCAATAAATCAAGGCAATTACCCAATATTGTGTCTTTTGGTACTCCAGTGAGTGAAAGTTTATCTATCATTTGGAATGGGCGTTCTTGTTTAAACTGGCTTGCCCCATTGCCTCTATAGTTGCAGTAACAGGAAAACTTTTGGGATTTCAAGGAATAGTGGGATTTTTTTTGTCTTTTACCATTATTTGCAGTGACATATCGACTATTTATGACTAAATTCTACAAAATTACTGTTTTCCTTTACGTACAGCAGAAAATATATTGAAATGATTTCATTTCCATTGGATGTTAAAGCATGTGGTTCATCCATAATATAGTCGCAGTAACAGGATGAGTCTTGAGATTTCAAGGAACAGTAGGATTTCGTTTTTACCATCAATTGCAGAGACATATTGACTACGCAAGGACTAACTCTATGTTTTCGTTTGCATACAACAGAAAATGTATTGAAATGATTTCATTTCGATGGGATGTACAAGCATGCTTTCATCCATAATAAATACTCTGTTGTAAGAGAATTGAGTTCAAAATAAGGAATCTTTTTCATCTGACAGTGTTCATGCTTGCAGTGATTCAAAGCTACATCATTCAATCTTTTTATTTTTTATGCTAAATGTTTTTGGTGTGTTATCATCAACTTAGCATTCATGACTCTTTATTCTGTTCTGTCAATGGATCTCTGATCTTCAGTAAAGCAACTTTATATCAAAAAATGTGCACAGTGCCTACCCAAATCTTCTGCTCTTAAAACAGAGGACATATGTATTTAAGATGTATTCATCTGTTGGTAGTATTTTCTTATTTTCTAAAAATAGAGCTTCAGAACTGAATAACTTGAAGTTTGAACTCAGTGGATGAATTTCATTTTCTGAGTAACACGGAAGTTTTAACTTGGATTTTATTTCATCATTTTTCTTGTAGATTTTTATTTTAGATTTCTATGACTGATTTTCTATTTCTGACCTGCTCATCCCTTGGAATGCTACTTGTTTCAGATGTACCGGTTCCTGCTGCATGTGTTATATTGATTTGCCTTTTCACTCTGCAACACTATGGGAGCCATAAAATTGGCTTTATGTTTGCTCCAGTTATCATTATATGGCTCTTATTCATCAGTGGAGTGGGTCTATATAATATCTGTCATTATGACCCCCAAATCATCTATGCTATCTCTCCAACATATATGTACAGATTCATGAGAAGAATTAGCCCTGGAAGTTGGGGATTGCTAGGCAGTATTCTCCTTTGTGCAGCAGGTTGGTTAGTATGTAGTAACATTCACGTTCCTTGGTTTAGTTTCTTGTCGTCTCTGATTACGCAGATATTTTGGAAATTTCTGTTTGTTCTGACCAATTCTCATGAAAATGTAATTTTGTAGGATCAGAAGCAATGTTTGCAGATCTAGGTCATTTCTCAAGGAGATCTATCACGGTAATCAAAATGCACATTCATCACCGTCTTTCAATTTCAAGTATGAATTTTCATATGATGTCTTCGCTGCAGGTTAGTTTTGTCTGCCTAATATATCCAGCCCTTGTTTTGTGTTACGCTGGTCAAGCAGCTTTTATCTCCAAGAACTTGGGTGTTTCTAAGGATGTTTTTCATCTCAGTGAATCTGTACCCAATAGTAAGTAGTTTTCTTGCTTTATATTTTATTTTTGGGTGGGTCCCTCATCTTGATGTCATATGGTCATGGGCAGGTTCAGGATCGATTCGCCACATCTTCAGGGTGTTATCGCTATTTGCCTCAGCTGTAGGAAGCCAAGCAACAATTACTGCCAGTTTCTCCATTATAAACCAGTGCCTGGCACTTGGTTGCTTTCCTAGAGTTAAAGTTATCCATACATCAGATAAGATACATGGGCAAGTATACATTCCAGATGTCAACTGCATATTGATGCTTTTCAGCATAGCAATCACCATTGGTTTCCGTAACATTTCACTGATTGGAAATGCAACAGGTATGTTTGTGTACTGACATATTTTATTTTCATTTCTTGTTTCTTGAAGCACTGAACCACCTTTGAGATTTGACAATTATACTCCACTAGGAACATTCAGGAAGCATGTAATCTATAATATGTAATGAATAAGTTTGTGATGATAAAAGAATAAACTAGACTGAGAACAATGTTAGTGCATGACAAAAATTTAATCAAAAAGCACATTTTGTTGATGCTTCTCAAGCATGGCAAAATAGGGTTGCATGAGAGGGAGGGTATTGGATAGCTTTATATACAAGTTGGGCTCATTTCTTAACTGATTAAGCTTTGGGGATAAATGGTGATCCAACAAATCCAATTGTCAATTTGGCAAAAAAATATTGGTGGAAAGAGAAAAAAAAGATTGTGAAGGCTGCAAGAATACCTATTTTTACATGAGATATATTAGTCAATCCTGGTTATATTAATGGATAAGTTGGTAACTATAAAACCAGAAGTGATGAAGTAAAGTAATTAACGGTGAAAATCAACATTGAATGGCTATGTCTAATAAATACTTTTTGTCTTCTTTGTAGGTTTAGCTATAATTTTTGCAATGCTAGTTACAACTTGTTTCATGTCACTTGTAATCGCGCTGTACTGGGAGAAGAGCTTATTTCTATCCGTGTGCTTTCTAGTGTTATTTGGCTCAATTGAGATCATATATCTATCAGCTTGTTTGTTAAATTTTCCCAAGGGAGCTTGGTATTTAGTTGTCCATTTGGTGATTTTCATGACAATCATGCTTGCCTGGCACTATGGCACCCTGAAGAAGTATCAATTTGATTTCGAGAACAAGTTATCATTGGATTGGCTCACTGAACTTGGCCCGGGTCTAGGAGTGACCCGGGTACCTGGAATTGGCTTCATCTACACCGACATTGTCACCGGAATCCCAGCTTTCTTCTCCCATTTTATTACAAATCTTCCTGCATTTCATCAGGTGCTGATCTTTGTCACCTTCAAGTCTTTGCCTGTCCCTTACATCCCCGCATGCCAGAGGTATCTTATAGGCAGGGTTGGGCCCAAAGAATACAAGGTGTATCGTTGCATTGTAAGGTACGGGTATTGTGATCATGTAAGGGACACAGATGATTTTGAAAAGCATATTATTTGTTCCATTGGTGAATTCATTTCCAGGGAGGAAAACGATTTTGAAGCCTCGACTTCGCCTGAAGGAAAGATGATCGTTGTTGGAAGCCAAATGGCAGATAGAAATGCTTTGATTCCTCTAGATGGGACTGTAACAAATATGGGTTCTTCTGCAAGCTTGGCCTTTTTTGTTTCTTGTTTTCGGACAAGTCCATTGTATGACCACCCATCAGGAAGTGTTTCTATTCCAATCAGGAGGAAAAAAGTTCGATTTGTATTGCCTCCAAATAGTCCTCAAATGAGGCATTCTGTTAGGGAGGAACTCCAAGAATTAGTAGATGCCCGGGAAAGTGGGACTGCGTATTTCTTGGGACAATCACATTTGACAGTGCGCCGTGGTTCAAATTTTCTAAAGAAATTCTTGATCATGACTTATGTTTTTCTTGATAAAAACTGTCGAGAGCCCCCTGTGGCATTGAACATCCCTCATGCTGCTCTTGTAGAGGTTGGTATGGTCTACATAATATAAACTATGTACTGGGACATAAATTGTCTTTCTCGCACTTCAGTATTATTGTAACATACTGTAATTTTAATGATAAAAGCAAATTCCATATAATGTTGCACAAATGCACCTACTCTTCGACATTTAAAGAAGCTGTGTACCTTCTCTCAACGTTAATGAAGAAAGCCTTTGGGTGGAAGGCATTGAAATATCCCGATAAGGACTAAGGCAAGGGTTATAAACGCACTTACAATCTTTACGCCGGTGATGAATGATGTGGCGGATGACAAAATTACTCAATCTGATTATATTTGTTTCAATCTAATTTTAATTAAAAAGAAAAAGTTTGGGAGAGCATTGATAAAGTAAGTAAAGTATAGAGGTAGATAAGTTAAGACAGTCAAAGTCAGGTAAAATAAGAAATCTTATTGTTAAAATAGTTGAATTTAACGTCAAGAATTCACGTGTAAAATCCAAAAAAAATCCAACCCATTGCCATCCCTATATGGCGGCATGAATTTGATGATAGGCACAATTTTTACTAATTTTTACCCTAGTTGAGTAAATATGTGAATGGTTTGATGTTCTTCATTTGAAAATGAAAGTAAATAGAATCCTTCTCTTGATTATAACAAGAAAAACGTAGGAAATTTTAAATGTTTTACCAAATATTCTACTAAATGACTCACATGAATGTAGAACTCACATGACAACTATGTAAATGATTTGATGTTCTTTATGTGAAAATGCAAATAAAAAGTATCCATTCTCTTAATTATAAAACCTAGACTAGATGAAATCCTAAAAACATTATAAAAAAAATATATATATATATATTTACATCCAAGTCAAGCAACCAAACCAAATAAAAAATAAAAAATTAAAAAATTACTGCTAATTCTTAAAAAGGAACCATATATAGAAAGAATTATCCTATTGGACCAATTCTTTCAAAATGATTGAGAACCCAAAATAAGAATTCATTCTATGTATTTTTTTCCAGCTGTGCATAATAATAACTCATAATAAATCTGTGCATAACTCTATAAACCATCACAATAAATGTACATTGATTATTTTGTTTTAAACTATTTTAAAACTTAAAAATGTAGGCAAAATGGAAGGAAAAAGAAAGAAGCCCAAAGTCAACCATTGAAAGAAAAAAGTAAAAATAAAGGGTATACTGTTGTGAGCTATAAGTAATTCAGCAACACAACCATATTGCCTTTACTATCAAAGTCAGATTAGTGCCAACTACAAAATATTGACCAACCATTGTCACTCACTGAGTAAAGATATTGACACCTAAAATTCTACATGCTAAACTATTCTGTCTCACATAGATAGGTAGTTGGGCCTACATCCCATGTGAGAAGGGGAATACTTTTGAAATTTGGATCTTCCAAAATAATTTTTCGCAGAGTAATCTTAACGTAACTTTTTAAATGTTTGCAATTTAATTATATAAAAGTTGAGGGTATAATAGTACAAAAGTAGTGTAAAATTTTATTTTACCCCTAGCATTGTTGTTCACATGAGCAAGGTTATGCCATAAAAATTATTCACTCAAAGTAACCTTCTTAAGCAAATTATTCAAGTATGAGAAAATGTTTTATACACCATTCACTCTTCGTTTTGGCTTTCTACTGTTTCACTCAACACAAGCTGTAGAGTTTGTAACCAAAATAGTTTTCAATTATACGACCGAGAACAGCCCAGTTTCTGTTCTTGTTTTTGAGCAAGAGAAAATCACATCACATTGCAATACAATTAGTTAGAAACCATGCTTTCAGTTTCATTCACAAAACCATCTCCGGTCCATTCTTTGTCAGACTGCAAACCTTTCCTGACAGCTTTCCTCTGTCGAATTGCTTCTTGTTGCCTCCGTACCAAATCTGTGTGGGTTGTGAAATATTCAAGAGAAATCCTGGGAAAAGAAAAGAATACAAATGTTAGATAAACAACAAATCCTTCATTTTGTTAATAATTTCCACATTAAAAAAGTTAATTGTTAAATAAACAAAAATACCCTCTGAAATCTTCTATTGATGAAAAATTCTGCATCTTCATGAAATCCTGCAACTCGGAGCAAAGTTTCTTAACATGACCGTACCCATGCATCATAACTCCCGTGCATACCTACAAACAAAATGACATTATATACTTGGCACATTAATATGTAAAAGATACCATTTCATGGGAACTTAAAAGGCTGCTTTTTCTTGACAAAGATGTCAAGTGTCTTGAGGTACACTATGGAAATTTCAGATATCTTTTGATTGGACTTAATTTTATCTTGATGTCACCGTTGCGGTTTTTCCCCCTCCACATGCAATGATTACCACAGCCCACCGCAGATGGGGGGGCCTTGAATTTGCTCAGGTAACTGCCGAATTTACCCACCTATTAGTATGACTCATACCACCCACTCAGCTATATGCAAAAATGGGTCCTAAATTCTTTTTAAAAATTAAAATAAAACTCTAATTGCTACATCAGACTCATTTTTCTTAACCATACCATGAAATATGGTTATAAAAACAGAAACTCCTAACAATGTGTTACCTAACTTTTACAACGTAGGAAACAATAGAGAAGAAAGAAAACAAACAGGTGACATTCCCCAAAACCCAAAAGAAAAAAGGAAAAAGGAAAAAAGGGGAAAAAGTGCAATGTACCAGATGGAGAAAGCCTACATCTTGAACAAGAAAACTCTGTTGACCCTAATGCTCTTGGGTCAGACCAACTAAAGCAACCTATCCAACATCCCGTCATACCCAAATTCCAAAAGAGAGAGAGAGTTCTGTTCAATCCTAATCTTTTCCGGTAAAACAAAAAATTCATCAAACGCAAGCGTTGCTTCCCAAGTGAACTATTTCACATGTTCAGAATTGCTAAGACTTGTAAAATAGAACATGGCAGTTTTTGATCAACGCCATAAAACTAAAAGCATTTAACATGGGTTTTGTAAAAGAAACCATTGCAAAAAATATGATACAAGCCCCTATAGAAAGCCAACATTTACCTGCTACAGATGAATAAGATAAGAAAACAATCACAACAATTAATGGAAATGAAACAGCATCACAACTGTCCAACCTGAACTGTATTTGCTCCAAGAAGAATAAATTCAGCAGCATCACCACCTGTCTCAACACCTCCAATACCAGAAAGGGAATAATCCTTATCTCTGAATTCCGCCTTCATCATTTGCGCAATACTCATCACTTTTGCAAGCGCAATAGGATGGACTGCCTTGCAAGAATAGCCCCCAGGAGTTGAGTATCTGAAATTAACTTTAGTATGTAAATCCTTGTGGGATGAATAAGTCAATGCAAAAAAGTCACATAGGTTGGGCAAAAATGCTAACCCCTCAACACAAGGCTCTGGACGCAAGGTATTGAGGTTGATTCCCATGACACTCATGATTGTGTTTATGGCAGATATCCCCTCGCATCCTGATCGCAGAGCCACCCTAGCTGGCTATAACAAAAGAAGCATTGATACTAGCAGAATAAGAAAAGCAACCTATACATTACTGCGTATTAGTGAGCAATGCACAATGTAAATTGCATTTATCTGAAGGAAAAAAAGAAATTGATCACGCGCACACAGAGATTGGAAAAAAAAAAAAAAAAAAACTTTGCTTTACATAATTCATTGATCACCTCTGTTTTGTTTGATGCATTAGAAGTAGAAATTCTGTAAGTTACCATGGCTATTGATCAGGAAGCTTCACGACACTTCACAAACCCACGTTTTGGAAAAGAAAAATCAAACAAAAATGAAAGGAGAGGAGAAAAAGAAACTAGAACACGTAATGATTGGCATTTGGTCAACTAACACAACACATTCTGATAATTCACTCTATTTTCTTTTGGGAACAACACTTTTTAGTCTAAAAGTTGAAAAGTCATTAAAAAAGCCAAAAAAATTCTGTAAGTTACCATGGCTATTGATCAGGAAGCTTCACGACACTTCACAAACCCACGTTTTGGAAAAGAAAAAATCAAACAAAAATGAAAGGAGAGGAGAAAAAGAAACTAGAACACGTAATGATTGGCATTTGGTCAACTAACACAACACATTCTGATAATTCACTCTATTTTCTTTTGGGAACAACACTTTTTAGTCTAAAAGTCGAAAAGTCATTAAAAAAGCCAAAAAGCCAACAAATTATACAAAATAGTCGAAGATGCCATTTTCTCTCTATTTTTTACACATCTTTTCGTAAAAAACTAAAAAGTCATCCCAAACCTACTAATTTTTTTTTTTACCTCATATTTTAGACAAAAAACCAAAAAGTTACTAAAAAAACATGTTCCCAAACGAGACAAATTGCCATCAAGGAATAAATAAAGTTATCAAATAACCAATGAGGAAAAGAAACAAGATAAAAAGCAAACCTGTGTAATGTCAGTAATGTTTGGAGTCATTTTTGCCCAAACAGGGACAGTGGCTTTTGCATTAATCCACCCACAAACTTCCTCTAAAAGTGCACAATCTTGCCCAACTGCAGCGCCCATTTTTCGCTCCGGCATACCATGAGGACATGAGAAATTGATTTCAATAGCATCCTAAACAACAATGTGAAAATCTTACATGAAGAAAGCTACTACGCATATTTATATATATACACACACACACTACAGGAACTTGGCTTCTGAAAAGAGTTACAGGTACTTAGGTAGTGAGAAGCATGAGCTTACAATTCCAGTTTGCTCAACTCGGTCAATAAGTTCCTCCCATGCAGCTTTGTCATACTCCTCCATGATAGAAGCAATAAGTACCCTGTCAGGATACTCTTCTTTTAATTGCTTGAATTCTTTAAGCATGGTTTCAAGAGGTCGATCACTTATGAGCTCAATATTTTCCCAACCAATAATTTGTCCTTTGGCTGAGCCATTTGCTCCTGCTCTTAGCCGAGCATATCGAGGAGTAACATTTATAACTTTTGAAGCATCCAATGACACCTACCAATTATTGTTCAAGATTAAGTACTTAACTTTCAATATAGATGAATAATATGAATAATCTTCATTCATGAAATACCACTTTGCCTTCTGGTCAGGAAAACGAAAAAATGAAATGAAACGAGCAGAAGTACCCCTTTGCCTTCATTTTAGTATAGATGAGTTTCTAAACTCTCACAGAAAAACTATATGGAGATGTGAAGTAAGGTTTGCAGGCTATGCTATTTTACACCTATTATGGCAATCATGGATTCCTTAAAAAGATAGAAAAGGACCCTTATCAGTTTCCTTCCATCCAAAAAACTTGTTTTCCAACTCTCCTTACGAGAACTACAACTAACAAAAAATGGGTAGTCAACTTTATCTCAATGGGACACTTATCAATCAGTCCTATTAACTAAACTTATTTACCTACAGGTCCTGATTAATAAATTTATTATTGTAAATTCATTCATAAAAACAAGAGAGACTAATAAATTTATCAATAGGACTTAATGGGTAATAAGTCCTAAAAGTAGGACCTATTGGTAATTTACCATATTATATCAATTACGTACATTTTAAAATATATATATATATATATATAACTTTTTTTATTGGCTATATATATATGAAAATTAAAAACCAATATGGCATACAATGGCTGTCCTACCTTGGCCCGACGCGGGCAATGGCCCCGATTCAACTTTTGGCAAAGGAATGTAACGCAAATATTATTTTGCCTATTAAAAATTCGGCAATTCAAAGATAAGTTGCTCCCACTGAATACGTTGGTGCCCCAAGTGGACCTTTTTACCCCTATGGTTATTAGGTTATGGTTTTAAGTTTTAACACTACTTGTGCCCTCCAAGTTTCACTTTTTTCCCATTTCTTTGATCTCTCTCATCCTATGAAGCACGTATACTTTTAAATGAGAGTTGTATCCGTATCTTACCAATATTAGATACTAATTCTCCTCGGATACATACCCAATACTTCTTAAACATATCCAATACTTAATATTAATTTTCTAAAATTTTGAGAAGTATCAGGTACTTTTCAGACCCTCTAGGTCACATATTGTAATCATTTTTGTATAGTATTAGAATATAACTTTGGCCTAATAACCTTGAGATTATGGGTTCAAGTATTGGAACAACTACTTTGTGTACTATGCCAAAGGTTAGGTGTGTACTCAATCTTTTTCCTCCCAAATACACATTAATGTGTACTATTTGAGCATTGCTTTTTATTAGAATATAATGGTTACTATGACTACAAGAATCATTTTTCATTGTATTAGCTAATCTGCACACACACAGTTTACTTAGCAAAATCTAGTTTACAAAAAAATAAAATAAAATAAGAACTCAACAAATGTAAAGCTACATTACCAAGTCAAAATTAAACCAACTACAATAAAATATCTTTTAAACATTACTCTTTTCACTTTTTTAACTGCAAAATTACTAATTAAGCTTGTATACTCTAATTTATCTACCCTTCCTTCTCCCAAGAACATTCATATACAAACCTTCTTTCTTTTTTTCAATGGTTCTTTTTCTTCTTTTTTTTTTTTTGATAATTTTTTTTTTTTCAATGGTTCTTATTTTAATCTCTAATAATATAATGGACTAAGATAATAGGGAACCCTATTTTGATCCCAATTTTAGGGGCCTAAGGAAGAGGCCTTTCTTGGCCTTGAGCTTGCATACATGTGTGTCATGTTCATATTCATACTTTGTAGAAAGTAAAGATAAAAATATATAATGATTACTAAAATTGAATTTCAACAATTAAATAAGTAAACTTGCATACAATACTTTTTGATATAACACATTAGTGTGAAAGGAAAAGACACACGGAAAAGGGCATAACTTTTTCTATAGGAGGAATTTTAATGCAAGGTTTGCGCCATTGGAAAGCTAACTTCTGGGGCTTCATCCTAGGAAGTGGCCGGCCGGCCACCTGCAGCCAAAATGTCAGGCCGGCCTGTGGCATACGCAATGCAATATGGCTAGAATGATATGCAAACATGCTAATGGAATTTCAGCACTGAAATGTGGGGGAAAACAGCCCCGAAATGAGGCGAAAACACACCCGATGCGTGGAATAGTCCCGAAACATGAATTTTGAGAGCCAATCTAAATAGTTTAGACTTAATATTGAAACGAATTTTGATAAGACTCACTGAAAAACAAAAGGGAAAATTACAAACACCCCCCTTGAGGTTTGATGAAAATACAGATTCCTCCCTGAGATTTGAGAAATTACATCTTGCCCCCTGAGGTTTATATTTCCATAACAAATTGCCCCATGAGGTTTTTATTTTCATACAGATTCCCCCCTAATTTGTTATGCAAATTTGACCTTCAGGGGGCAATTTGTAATTTCTCAAACCTTAGGGGGGAATCTGTATTTTCACCAAACCTCGAGGGGGGTATTTGTAATTTGCCCAAAACAAAAGTAAACTAACTACTATCTCTTAAACTAATATATAATACAATATTATAGGTTATAATTTTTTTTTTCCCAATGTATCCTGACCTACTCAAATCTTATTTTTAATTTTTGTCGTATGATCGCATTGGACACTAGCTTTTAAACTAACAACTAATTCCTAAGAATAGTTTCTCACCATTTTTGGAACTCATATATAATAAACCAAACCATATTAAGCCTTATGTTCCAATCAAGTAGAGTTGGCTACACGAATTCTTTTTCACCATTGATTCTACTATATCAAGAGCTATATGTTCAGTTAAATAAATAAATTCATATCCTTTTCACTACCGCATATCCAATGTTAGCTTAGGTCTTCCCATCCCCGAACAACTCCATTTATAGTGATCATATCACTCTTCTTTAACATTAACACTCCTTTTGGATTGAGAGGGAGGTGAGAAAAGAAATAATTATGGTTTCTCACCTAGGTGAGAAAAGAAAAGAAAAAATGATTAGATTTCTCACCATTATGTTTAGATGAATCAAAGAGAAGAGAATGTGATTTTTCACTTATCTTGTATGGATAGAATAAGTAAGAGAAAGGAAAAAGAAGGACTTGCTTGGTTTGTATCTTGACATACAATTTTTGAGAAAAATTTTCAAAATTTTGTTTGGTTCAAATTTTTTGAAATTTTTTTTCAAAATCACTCTCTCCTACATGTCAATCAATCACTTTTTCTCTGTCCCCTCTCCTCAATCACTTTTTCTCTCGCACACATTTCCTAAATTACAACAAAATATCAAATCATTTCAAACTTCCAAACACCAAAACCATTTTCAAAATATACAACCAAACAAATCAAAAAAAAAATCTAAACTCTCTCCCCAAAATTTTCTTTTTTAAAATTTATCTCAAAACACAAACCTAACACAGTATTTTATTTCATTTTACCAAAATAATATTCTATATTAATAAGCTATGTTTTTCATAAAGATAGTTTTGGTATTTTAAATAAATTTCATTAACTCAATTCTTTTCTCATCAAATCTCACCACTTTTGGTGAGAAACAAAATATAAGTTTAGTGGGAGTCCATTTCTCACAAATTTTCATCATTTCTCACATTACTTAACCATCCAAACAAACAAGTGAAGGGTTCCCAATTTCCACCATTTCTTTTATTTTCTCACCAAACTCCGCCATCCAAACAGATAGTAATTTATTTTGGATATACATATAGCATTTGTTGTATTGATCATGTAAAGATGTGACAAAAATTATGAAAAAAAAAAAAAGAACGAAAAAGATTAAAGCTAAAATGAAAAGGGAAAAAGAATGAAAAGCTCACCGTTTTGGCGATGACAGCACCCCAACCTTCATCGAAGGCCTTCTTCATAACAGTGTAATTGGTCCCGGGAGGACCCGACCCGATGACAAACGGATTCGGCATCCTCAACCCATTAACCGTGACGCTGAGATCAGGGTGAGTTGGAGACTCCGAAGCAAAAACCCTGAAACGGACTCTCTCAGCACACCGTCCAAAACCCAGTGGCCGACATTGGAGCCATGATGCATCTTTACCTCCGATCTGACTAGTAAAGCTCAGTGACGCCATGACTACTACTGACTATGATGGATGATGATGGGTGTGAAGAGAAGTGAAGAGAGGACAAGTTAGGAATTAATGAATATGTGGGGATCTCAATAAGCTCTGTGTGTGTTGGAGAGGAAGAAAGAAAATGGAAGGGGTGAATGAAGAAGATGATACGTATGTAAGTAGACAATTAGGATGATTAGGATTGAATTTTTGGAATCTGAGCGCAATAAAAGTCATAGCTTAAGATCGGATCGGATGGGATAACAGAGAGACACAAAAGAAGAAATTAATTTTGACTCTTTTTGGTGGCCGGCCGTTGAACATGGGCCGCCGGCCCGGGTGGGCGCGGGTCGGTTTGGTCACGGAATCTCCAATTCATTGTCCGTTTGTCAGATTGGTGAATTGGAGAAAATCAATCCGCATTCGTCCGCTAATCCGACGGATGTGAATTGAGCAGATTGGCAGTTTGGCGGATGGATGCGAATCTGTTTGGCAGTTTAAAATTTTATAAATTTTCAACATAATTCAACTTGTGCACTTTCTCAAAAAAAGAAGAAGAAGAAAGTATTACAGTTAATGACTTAAAAAAAATATTATAATCACTGCATGCCTCATCTAAAATAAGAAAGTTTGAAACTTTAGAATATCACAATCACTGCATGCCTTATTCACATATTACAATCAGAGCATATCTCATCAACATAAAGTATAACAATCTGTGGTTCTTAGAATATAAAAACAATTCAAACTATCAAAACCATAAATATAGCAGTAGTAGAGATTATATGTCTCTGTATTGTTACATCTATATCTGTTTTTGAAAATAAAAACCAATCAGCATATATCATACTTTTTATTTATTATTTTTAGAGATAGATTTAAAAACCAAAAAATATAGATAAATAATACGTTTATTTTTTTCAATTCAAAAAAGATTTCAAGTTGAAAATTTTTTTAACAGAATATTTAAACTCTTTTTTAATTGAAAACATAAACAGAATATTTAAACAAACTGAAAACGCAAAGTTTTATAAATTATTAGGAGTGTTCGCGGTTTGGCGGTTCGGTTGCGGCCAAAGGAATCTCAAATCCGCCATCCTTCGGCCAGATTGGCGGATTGGAGAAAATCAATTTGCAATCGTCCGCTCGTCATCACGCATCCATCCAAAATGCAGCAGATCGGTTCGGTCGATTTTGGCAGATCGGTATATCTGCTGCTCACCCCTATGGCTCGGTATTTTGCATTAGATGGATGACTTCTCAGCTTGAGTATGTTTTTTCATAAGAGAATTACACCGCTCTTATAGTTTGGGACTTACCTCATACTTGTTTTTAATTTTTTAATTGTTACATATTTAATTGGGCTCTTTTTTGATAAATCCCATTTATAACTGTTTTGTTCCATAAAACCCAAACTATTTCTGAATATTCCATTAGGTCCATTAATTGTAAAAGGACGAAATAACCCTCTCCGCCTCTCCCCCGTGTAACCGATTCCGCAAAATCCATTCCTATTCCAACTATTCAATCCACAAAATTTCCAAAACAAAAACTCAATCCACGAAACGATACTCACATCGCCTCCAGTAACCCTAGATTCACATCGCCTCACCAACGTCCTCGTCGTCCACCGTCGACCATCGACCCCAGATTCCTCTTCGTCTCACAACTGCGAAAGTTCACATCGAAAGGAGGGTGCTTCGTCGTTCGAAGATTCATGTCATCCCATTGAGTTTATTTCATCCACTGAGTGTGATCCATACCCACCAACCATGATGAATAAAAGTAAGGAATACCATTCCACCTTCTGCTTTTCAATCATAATGTCATCACCAATGTATACATCCACCTTCTGGTTTTCGGATTTGAATTTGTAAACATAGATGTTTTCAAAATTGATTTGGTAAAAATAGATGATGTGAACATTCACATTAGTGTTGATTACTGGCTAAACTTATAGTAGTAGACACTGATGTGAATATTCACAGCAGTGTATAATGATGTGAACATTCACATCAATGTATAATGATGTGAATGTTCATATTACTGTCACTGTTGATATTGTTCATTTTTTATATCCACAGAACTCCCAAACTTCACTCAACAATGTGATGAAATGTGATGTAAATATTCACATTGTGACATCAATGTTGGACTTGTTTGTGTTGTTGGGTGTTGTTTGGTGCTGTTGATTCCCCCCTATGATTTTTAGCAAATTATAACATAATGTGATCACCCATGTAAACATTTACATTGCCCTATAACTGTTGTAGTTTTCAGAATTTATTTTGCACACATGGATGATGTGAACATTCACATTAGTGTTGATTACTGGGTAAACTTACAGTAGTAGACACTGATGTGAACATTCATATCATGTGAATGTTCACATTAATGTCAGAACCCCCAAACTTCACTCAACACTGTGATGCAATATGATGTAAATATTCACATTGTGGCATCAATGTTCAACTTGTTTGTGTTATTGGGTATAGTTTAGTGCTGTTGGTTCCCCCCTTTGATTTTTAGCAAATTATAACATAATGTGATCACCCATGTAAACATTCACATTGCCCAGTAACTGTTGTCGTTTTCAGAATTTATTTTGTAAACATGGATGATGTGAACATTCACATTAGTGTTGATTACTGGGTAAACTTATAGTAGTCATGTGAATGTTCACATCAATGTCAGAACCCCCAAACTTCACTCAATACTGTGATGGAATATGATGTAAATATTCACATTATGACATCAATGTCCAAGTTGTTTGTGTTATTGGATGTTGTTTGGCGCTGTTGGTTCCCCCCTTTGATTTTTAGCAAATTATAACATAATGTGATCACCCATGTAAACATTTACATTGCCCTATAACTGTTGTCGTTTTCAGAATTTATTTTGCAAACATGGATGATGTGAAAATTCACATTAGTGTTGATTACTGGGTAAACTTACAGTAGTATACACTGATGTGAACATTCACATCAGTGTACAATGATGTGAATGTTCAAATTACTGTCAATGCTGGTTGTTGAATGTTGTTTGGTGCTTCTGGTTCCATCCTCTGTGTTTCAGCCAATTATATGTGCTTATTTGAACAGACAGGTCTTCCCCATAAAGTTGATGGCAAGTGAAAGCGAGGGGAATCCCATGGCAAAACCAAGCCTGATCAAACAGCTGTTCCTGAAGAAGTGAACATGAAAAAAGTTAACTACCGGTCAAATATAACTAGATTGGTCAAACTGTTAAAGGATACAAAATTTACAAGTGACCAATTGAAGTGCCTTAGAAAAACACAGTTCTGGCCATTATTTGATTACTTGATCAGTAACGAAATCGACCTCAACCACTTCATGAAATATGATGATGCCATTGTACGTATGGTATAGACATTCAAGCAATCTAGTGGGAGGTTTTACATTGGGGATAAGAACATCCAGGTTTTTAGAAGTGATGTATCACTGATTTTTGCGGTGGATTGCGGCACCAAGTCGATGGACCTCTCTTATGGTGCAAAACCAACAACCGGCATCATACACTGAATGTGCAAGGATGTTAGTCGGTTAAGTGCTGCCAAAATACGAGAAATTCTGAGCGAAGCATTGAAGGGCACAAAAAAACATGACAATGAGGAGGTTGCAAGATTAGTTTGCATGTATGCATGCGTCAAGCTATTCTCTTTTACATCCGGAGAAACAATTGGATGGGCTTTCTACTTATACATGGACCCATTAGACAAGATGATCGAGTATGATTGGGCTGAGAGCATCTGGGCAACCTTGATGGGTTCATTGGGCCAAAACTGTGGAAAATCAGGACGAGTCACTGGATGTGTGATGTTGTTAATGGTAAATCTCATAAAACTTATTCTATGTTTAATACGAACATTTACGGGCTCTGGACACTCTGATGTGAATGTTCACATTTCTCAGCATTGGTGTGGAAGTTGACAACATTGATGTAGACATTCACATTACTGTTTCAGTAATGTACAAACACACATTAGTAGATACTGGTGTAAACATTCACATTAACAGATGTGAACATTCACATCAGTAGTACCACTTACATTAACAGATGTGAATATTCACATCAGTAACATCACTCGCCATTAGCAAAATGTGAGCATTCACATCAGTAATAGCACTGACATTAACAGATGTGAACATTCACATCAGTAGTATCACTCACATTAACAGATGTGAACATTCACATTAGTAACATCACTCACCATTAGCAAATGTGAACATTCACATCAGTAATAACACTGACATTAACAGTTGTGAACATTCACATCAGTAATATCATTCACATTAACAGATGTGAACATTCACATTAGTAGTATCACTCAACATTAGGAAATGTGAACATTCAAATAAGTAACATGACTCCCCATTAGCAGATGTGAACATTCACATCAGTTTTAATTGATATAAACATTCACATTACTGCCCAGTGCTGTAAACATTCACATCAATGTTAATTGATGTGAACATTCAAATTACTGATATTTGTTATTTGTTTTAGTACTGGCTGTGTGAGCATACAACAATCTTACAACCCCGTAACCCCAATGCCATTTTGCGATGCGTAAAGTGGGACCTCACAGCCTTACATAGCAACATGAAGTCCATATCTTTGGTTAAGCTGGGTTTAAATGAGGTAGAAGTACAACCAAATATATTGTGCCTATTCACATAGTGAGACAAAGAACTATCTAACTAACATACTGTCTCCAAATGCAGGTCTATGGCGGCGAGCTAATGACATCACCAACTGAAGCGAAGATATACCGTCATACAAAATTGAATGTGGAGTCCAAACCTGAGATTTTGTCAAGTACAGTAGCAAAGAAAGATGAAAGCAATGAGGATCAAAGCAAAGACAATCAACGCAGTGATGACAGGGATGCATTTTCTGTCGATGTAGTGGACCTGAATGATGTTGGACATTATATCAACCCCAGCTGTAGCATCCCCAATGCTGAGAAAGGAATCATCATAGCACAACCAACTGAGCCCGACATTGTGGAAGTACTCATAAAAGAAAACCAAAAAGCTTAGGCTTTTGTACGGCAATGGGAAGCTAAATACAAACAGTTAGAAGAATCATGGGAGTTAAGGGCAAGGGTGATTGCTGCCCTTGAAGCCAAACTATTTGACCAATCGGGCCCATCTAATGTGGACATGGACATGAAGACTTGTATGCAGTGGAGAGATACAGAAATTCAGCGGCTGACAAAGTTGGTCATCAACTTGGAATGTGAAAAAACAATACTTCAAGACCTTTTTGACGATCAGTCCGTCCACATCATCACTCAAGTTGAAGTACAAAAGGCTCATGACAGCCTTAACAAGCATCCCACTGCAGCATTGGAACACATTATCAGCCCCCCATCAAGGGTAAAGCGCATAAAGCAGAAGGTAAGGAAAGAACACAGGTTGGACGAGTTTGAATACCCCAACCTGCCTGGTCAGAAGAAAGGGAAAGAAGGAGCCGAACAGCAATCACATGCAGCATATAGTCCAAATAGCACAAGATTTAGTCAAGCAACCACCAAAAAAGTAGCCAACAAAGTCCAAGAAGTTAACCTAGTGCAACAAACTGAAGATCTGGGCTAACATGAACAAACTCAACAAGCAAAAAGTCCAAAATTTGCACAAGAACGGTGGTAATGAGTAAGTGATCTTACATATCCCCAACTGTTTTTTTTTTTTTTTTTTTTTTTTTTATCCCCAACTGAATTTTTTTTTTCTCATGTTCAGTTCACATACATACTTAATAAATTAGATCATTTCATAAATGTGCAATGTTGACATTAACGTTTTCTGTAATCACAATGCACAGGTTGCTAGTGTGGCGAGGGGACTCAAAGACTAAAGATGTGTATTTTGATGATATCATACACATCATCAAGGAAGAATCAATAACCAACAACGTATGACAACTATAAATGTGTACAAAACACACACACACACACACAATAAAGACATTGCAAATAATGTACTACCACCCCTCTGGTTCTACAGGTGATAGATGCTTATGGTGAAATTCTACTTGAACTACAAGGGCTAGTCAACCCAAGTTTGGAAGATTCATCATTCATCTTTACAAGCACATGTTTGGTAACCACTAGACTTTAATTTTGATTATGTTTCAATACATGTGAATGTTCTTCTCAGCATTATATGCTTATATTGTTAACTTAAATAATAGGCAGATGTGAATGTTAACAACAACATAAAATGACCTTTGAGAAGATTCACATTGACAGATGTGAGCATTAACATCATTCGCATTGAAGATTATATGCTTATTATGCTGTTAAACTTAAATGATACACACATGTGAATATTCACATCAGTAGTATCACTCACATTAACAGATGTGAACATTCACGTTAGTAGTATCATTCACATTAATAGATGTGAACATTCACATCAGTAACATCACTCACCATTAGCAAATAGGAACATTCACATCAGTAATAGCACTGACATTAACAGATGTGAACATTCACATAAGTAATATCACTAACATTAACAGATGTGAACATTCACATCAGTAGTATCACTCACCAATACGAAATGTGAACATTCACATCAGTAGTATCACTCACATTAACAGATGTGAACATTTACATCAATAGTATCACTCACCATTACGAAATATGAACATTCACATCAGTAGTATCACTCACTATTACGAAATGTGAACATTCACATTAGTAACATGACTCCCCATTAGCAGATGTGAACATTCACATCAGTAACATCAAACATTGATATAAATACTTGGTGCATCATTGTATGCCCTTTGTGTGCAGAAAATCACGCAAGAGTACCCCCCCACAAGAGGAATAAACTGATTGATGTACACATCAAGGAGTATCAAGGCCAGAGATTCTTAATCTTCCCAATACACGACAACTTCCATTGGACAATTGTTGTGTACGACGTGAAAGAGAATGTATGGAGGCATTATAACTCACTGCACCTAAGAGAAAGCATACATGACCCACATATTGACAAAGCACAAATACTGGTAAGTGGCTGACAAAAATAATACTTGTCGTGATGTGTAATATTTGAACTTGGACGTATGCCCTATGTTGGTTGGTGCCTAATATGAAATTTCATTGTTGGCAGAGGGACTACATCACAGCTTTGGTGCACAACATTGGACCATCATCACCATTATGGACCAACTTATCAAGCCAAAATACTTCGAAAACAATCATATCAGTAAACATCTGTCCTCAGCAAGCATCAAATTCGTAAGCCTAAAATCGATTTCTACACATGTTCCACAACCATTACCCACCTAAATTTCAAAATCTAACAAGAAGTTTGCATTTTCAGGGTGGATTGCGGGCCTGCAGTTTGTTACATCATGAGGGCGCATGTATATCGTGAAGACATTATTGCCAGCCTAGATTGCTTTGAATGGTGTCAAATAAAAGACTCATTAGTACACCTTTTTCTGAACCACAGAAAGACAGTGCAATGTGAAAACCTATAAGTGGGGGGTGTCCACCTATCACTGTTACCCAAATCTGTTATCCACATTTAAGACAATTTAGTGTCAATAGATTTTTCATATTGGAGCAGACTAGCTTAATTATAAATCAAGTCTATATCACTGCTTGTACAGATATTTTCCAGTCAATATATGTATATGCATTTTCAGGCCTATTTTGCGTTGGTCATGCACATTGAGATTGTATTTTTTTATTTTTTTTGGATATACATGACATGATGTGAATGTTCACATCACAGAATGATCGTACACTTTCTTCTGTTTTAAACCATACTACATGGATGTGAATATTGCTTAAAGTGTTCATGTAACACAATATGACAGGTGTGAGTATGATATTTCTTAACACAAGTCAATATTCACATCTAATAATTTGATGATGTGAATATTCACATCATAACTTCTGATTATGCGAATGGCAACAATGATGTCATGAATATTCACATCTTATGAGTTGATGATGTGAATGGTTACATTGATGTAAACATTCATGTCATCTACTTTGATGCTGTTAACAGTAACAACAATGTGAACATTCCCACCACAGAAATGTTTGAAAGTTCAACAATGTGAACATTTACATGATGTGATTATATTACACAAGTGTGAATGTTAACATCATGCATTCATCCAAAACACAACCAACATAAATGTCAGATTGGTACTTTAAAAAAATGAAAATAAAACACAAATCAAATACTAATGCATTATTATGTTTGCCAACGCAACGTAATCTTATTGCAACCCAATGTTTGCTAACACAACACAATCTTATTTTAAAAATGAATATAAGAATCCAATGTAAAATACAATGTTGAAATGAAAAAAGATACATCCTATATCGGCTCCGTGCATGATTTTCGATTATGGCTCCCCAACTTATCACATCTCTCGCACCTTATTTGCTTTAGTTTCTCACCCCTTGATAGGATCCTATTCTTCTTCGGCCTTCCGGGTGGTCTTTTCACAGTTGGCGGGTATATAGTGAAGTCTGTGGAATCAAAAGGCGGCTTCTCCTCCGATGGTAAAAGGAATATGGCTCCCGAATAGGCTGCACGATATATCTCTACATGAAAGTATTGTTCTACACAATCATTGAGATTGTAGCGGCTCTTCTGAATGGCAATAACAGCATGGTCACATGGGAATCCGTTGATTTGCCATTTGAAGCAAGAACATGTACGCCTCGTAACATCAACTGTAACAGATGGTATTGAATGAACTTCAAACACATCCTCGTTGGCTTTGCTAACTTTCCAAGACCTGCTGTCATTGAACGAATCCATAAGCCTTGTTTCGAATGTCGAACAAATAATCTCATTCCATTTGTTTACTTGGTCACGCCGTGCAGACATTTACCGCATCAACTGAGTACGAATTGTGTCCACCATTTGAGTGATAGGAAGATTACGTGCTTCTCTAATCCAGTTATTAAATGACTCCGCCGCATTGGATGTCATCTCCCCATAACGCATGTCCCTGCACAATATCACAAACATTGTACAATACGGAATTTAACAGGTCTGACCATTCACGTTGACAGATGTGAACATTCACAGTACTGACATTAGTATACACTAATGTGAACATTCACATCAGGGTATACTAATGTGAATGTTCACATCTGCTACCAGTTTATAATAATGTGAATGTTCACATTATATGCTTATTATGTTGTCAACTTAAATGATAGACAGATGCGAATGTTAACAACAACAACAAAACATGACACGTGTCAACATTCAAATCTGTAATACATTGCATGACTATTTGACAAATTAACAGATGTGAACATTCACATCAGTCATCATTAGCAGATGTGAACATTCATATCATTTACATTGAATATAAAACACAATTCGAAGATTGTCACCATTCTAAACTGAAAATTCACATCGCTACCATTCTAAACTTCACAAATGGAACACCTTAGGAAACTATTATTACCTGAAGTATGAATTTGCCCAGTGCTCAGGTGCCAAGTCCTTGAAAAAATTATGAACTCGTTGTTTACCCTCCTCTTTTAATTTTGCAAGCTTTTCATAGAACCCTACCACAGTTGGCCCGTAGGCACAGTCACTCAAACTACTTATTAGGTGATCCCTGAATCCATTATCAATTCCTTTCATCCGGTCTCTTAAATTGCTCTTCAAGTGTTGTAAGCAATAACCGTGATGAGCCGATGGGAACACCTTTGGCATAGCTTCTAACAGACCAAGATTACGATCCGAAATAAAAGTAATATGGCGCTTCCCATCAACAACCTTCCCAAGTTCATGCAAGAACCACAACCAATTGGCCGTGGTCTCTGAATAAACAATCGCAAATGTAACAGGAAACAGACCTACAACACAACACTAATACACAACTGTTCACAATATTCCAAAGTGAATAGAAAACAGTATAAACGAAACAGGTCATGTGAATGTTCATATCTACATTGCCCTATTTACTATTGTTATTTTTGGATTCAGGTTCGTAAACATCAACGATGTGAACATTCACATTAACGACTATTAATAATTCATTGTTAATTGTTGAGTCACTGACAATGTTAACATTCACAGTACTGTTCATTAATGGATCAACTAACATTAGTATACACTGATGTGAACATTCACATCAGTGTGTAATAATGTAAATGTTCACATTACTGTCATTAGCATACACAGATGTGAACATTCACATCAGTGCATCCTAATGTCAATGTTCACATTACTTATAATTTACCAATCACTCTTTTGTCCAGACTATGCTGCTCAGAGTGAATATTGACATGAATAGACAGCTAAAAAAAACTATTAACCATTGTTTCCGTCTTTCGCCGTTGCCACAAGTAGTTGACCTTTGTACTTTCCTTTGAGGAATGTTTCATCCAGGAATAATAAAGGCCGACAAGCATTGAACCCAAAAATACACGTAGCGAATGACACAAAGAAGCGACAAAACTGTTGACTACTCGCATCATAGTCAATATTGACATAACTTCCCGGATTGTACCACATCACGACATCCGAATACCACCGCAGCTGGTCAAACGATAACGAGTGATCTCCATGAATACCAGCCTTTGCTTTCTCCACACCCAACCATACGACATGGTAACTCACATCTAGCCCATAATCCCTCTTCAAAATAGTCACCACCTCACACGGTCGAGTCAACGGCTTGTCCCTTACAATTTCAAATATGGTACTCGACACCAAATCCAAACTAACTCGCGGATTCTTCGATGTTCGGACATTCGTACCACAAGTATGCACATCACTAAACCTCTTAATGTAGAAAAAATCATTTGCTCATTGTGCTCTACAATGTATAGCCCACAAGCAGCCCCTCTCCTCCCGCATCGCACACACAGCAGTAACTCTTGTTGTCTCGTTCTTCACGTATGTAAACTTAAACCCACATTGGATGGCATACTTACATAAAACGTCACGAAATTCTTGTGCACCTCCAACAAACCGTTGTCCCACATGCGTAATACCATTTGCCTAAGTGGCTGACAACAACACCTTCTTCTTATGGTGGCAAAATCTCCGTAGTGCATCAATTTCTTCCTCAACCCCCACACGCAGCAATCCCAAACTACTTGATTGAACAATATCACTTTTCAACTCAACCACAACTTCTACATGTTGTACCCCCATTGATTTAGCAAGCAGTAACATGTTCTGAAATTCTTCCTCATTGTCCAAATCACACTTACTAATCCCAGGTAGTTTACAGATCAATGAAATAGAACCAGCAGACAACTCATCCCATTTCTCACACAAACACTCCACCAAACGAGAATAACACATTGCGCGGGCAACATTTATTACAGTTGTACTACAACCATATGTACACACCAACAGCATAAAGGTATTCATCTCCTGTAAAAACACAAAAACACAACAATGAACTGTAATCAAAATCGATATGAAAATTCACATTGTGCAAAAAATAGATGACTACGTGTACAGTTCAAGTGCTAAATCCATAATTCACAATACGAAGATGTGAACATTCACATTGATATTAAGAAGATGTCAACATTAAGCAAACATCAAAGTAAAATGAGAACATCAACAATCTTCACATAATATAAACAAGATGTCAACATTTACATTGACACATACACTCTAAATTATATCACACACACAGAGCCTCATTAAGCAAACATCAATTTAAAATGAGAACATCCACATTCTTCACATATTCCACATTAACAAAATGTGAACATTCACATTGATATATATACTGATAATCAAATCATCCACAAAGAGCCTCATTACGCATACATCAAAGTAAAATGAGAACTACACATTCTTCACATAATATGAATGAACTCCCCTCCACAGGACCACGTAAAATGCATATAATTGAAAAAACAGAGCATCCAATCCATATAAATCCAAAAACAGA